ATGTAAATTTACAAGAAAAAATAAAAATACTTATTGTTTTCATCGTAATATCAATCCATTTTAACTACAATTATTATTAATAAATTTTGCTTAATTGCTTTGCAAACCCCACTTCTAATCAACAGATTTACAATAATAAAAAAAACATTTTTTGATGAAGAACCTTTTGCCTTTGTAAAAGGAATTCTCTGTTGATTAGCCTTGTATGCTTTTTTTCCAAGTGACTTATATTACACATGTATTGTAGATGATATTTGTATCAGAGAATTCGGAGGTAATATTTAGTAGCCTAACTCCAGTGGGTATTGATATTTTGGATTATAAATTATTTTTTTAAAAACATTTTTTTTTATGTGATAAACATGTTTTAAATGTCTTTTTCAATAAATTTCAGTCCATTAATGTACCATGTTTTTCAGGGGCATTGATTCAATCTATTATTACATTAATTACATAGAAAACCCCACTTTTAAAAAAAAACAACTCTTATATGTTTTTATGATCTTGGGAAATCTTGGGAAATCTGTTCACCAAATCTTGGGAAATTTAAAAAAAGTGAATGGCAGCCCTGCTAACAACAGTTTATTTATCTTACCTTATTTTCGGATACAAATAGTGCAAACACCTCTTGAAAAGTTGTCTATTATTATACAAACATTTGTAATTAAAGAAAGCTGCGATTAAATTGTATGAATGTGATATCATATTTATATATTAAATTAATTTTAGTAATATAGCAGTTCTACTACAAATTCTTCTTACTTTATTAGTTAAATTAGTAGTCCAGCCGTCCAGCCAGTTTAGACATGTCTCAGTCTCAGCCTTGGGTCTAAACTTAAACTTAATAATAACTCAACTCTTTCAAGTAACATTGAGTCTACCACAGTCTACGTTTACAATCTACTCACTACTCATTATGGATGTATAGCCAATATTTAGTATATGGATATGGGAAGCTTGAAACGTTAAATTAATATATTAAATTATTAAGATTAAGGATATTTTTATTGTATGTCCCGGAATGTCCTGATTGTGGATTTTACTTTTACATTCATTAGTCATTAGACATTAGTAGTCATTTCATTAGGACTTTTAATAGGACATTTAGTTTTAGGAAGAAAGTTTTAGAAATTTAACTATTATTTGAAATTTTAATTGTTCATACTCATACTGCTATTGTTTATATTAATATAAGTTAATATAACTCAAAGCTTTAGTTTGGTACACTGTGACTGTGAGTAGCCAAGTAGGCCTACTTTCTTAAGATTCAAAAATTTTTGAATGCTTGTACTTGTATTGAGTTAGTTCAAAAAGTAAATGCCTAAAAATGAAATGGCCCAGGTTTGGCAATAACTTATATATGCAGATTTGTGGCAATTTTATCCATTAAAAGTGAATATTTATCCACATTCTTATTACTTAACATGAACATTTCACAGATTTCAATGGGTGTCCATCATGTCCTATAAAAGCAATGACCGTGACTCAGTGCATGCTCAAGCTCAGGTTCTCAATATCAACAGTGAAAGTAATCTACAGGAATTATCTCTGTCTTCTAATCTAATGCTAGAAAAGGTAGGCTTTGTGGTAGTTGTTTAATAAATTAAAAATGGGCCAAATAAATTTTAATATTTAAAATGATTTAAATTGAAATTTAAAATTATGCTTTAGCAGAGCAATGTTTACTTTGTATTACTGTTACTTATTTGTTTCACAGGAAGTTCAAGCCGGTCTACTTTCATTTATGGCTGGGGAGTCAAGCTCAAGTCAATTTTCCAGTGAAATAAATAGACTTCGTTTGGAAAACAGTCAGCTTAAGCTAGATTTGCAAGCAGAACATGGTAAGTGGAATAATTTTGTTTGTTGATGAAATTTGTAACAAAATTATTGACCCTTTAACTCCAAGTATGAACATTTTTTATTTGACACTTCAAAGAAAATTCTGATTTAAAATAAAAAATTAAAGAAATTTTCTCGGGTAAACCAAAAAGATACATGATTGTTTATTATTTAACTAGGTACTATGATACTCATTCGCGTATCCGTTCTGTGCATGTTGAAAAATGATGCAAAACCTTTTGTGGAAAAATAACATTCGACTCCTAATGAACTTGTTTGGTTTTTTTTTGCGTTAACGCCACAGTTTTGTAATAATAAATTATTTTGTCATCAGTGACATAGAGCGCATATTTTTCCAAATACGGTGATATCATTTTTGCAGCATGGTGGATTTTGTGACTGGCAACGCAATTTCTCTGATTTATCGGTATGTACTTAATAGATTATAATTTTTTAGTGTAAAATTGCGAGACATAGTGCTTTATTGTGCTACTGCTTCAATCATTCACAAAGGGGAATAACTTCATTTCATTAAGAATAGCAATTGCCCAAAACGTTATGCATTTAAAACGCTGGAAGGTGTAAGAAAATGAAAATGTCAGTTAAACATGTCATTCCCCCTCGCAAAAAAAATATTGGGTTGTCGGAAATGGCTCTTCTTATTAATTTAATATAAAAATATGAAATGATTTTTATTATTGATCATTTTTAAACATCAGTGAATTAATTGGAAAAAATGTATACAATATTATTAGAAATTAATACAATCCAATGAATTTAAGAGTTTTTATTAATTTTAGTTCATGTATTCCAGTTAATTTGGATTTGTTTTGTCCCTTGATTTACATAAATAATTATATAGTTACATGTATATGACGAGATGTAAACCTTATTGTTGTGTGTTCATTTAACCTCTGATGTCAGATGCTTACTTGTTGGATATTATAGTCTCTCACGTCATCACACGGACTAGTGCAACTGATACCAATACACCAAACACTGAATATCTTGTTGCACGCTATAAGTTTATTATACATCATCACAACAGGACAGAGTAATGTATACCGTTGTTACGCACTGACTTGTACTGGGAGAAATTAATCTCCTATTTTAATTTTAATTGGCTCGTTGTAAGCAGTGCCTAACAAAGGACGATACCATAGAATCAACAATATTAAAGATATGACCCAAAACAGTTTCTAGTTACAATTAATTAAAATTTATTATGTCTTAAGATAATTACAAAATAAAATAAAATTACAATCTTCAACTTACAGTATGGTAGATCTCGTACCGGTACAAAGTTAATACAATTAGAAATAATGATGCCAATAAATAATGCGAAATAAACACATATAAGTAGGAGCACACAAATACACAAAGAATAAAACACGCCTCGTAATGTTAAGAAAATCTATCAGACATTTCGAGAAAAATCCCAATCATTCTACCAAATACTATTTGGAACAGATTAATTATTTTTATTCGTTGGCGGCGTAAACAAGAATACATCAAAGACCTAAGCCACACCCCTTTGTGAACACAGCGTCTCATGCGGGGTCAATCAGAGGGCACGCACGAGAAATATTATGTAAACAAGCTCTCTATAACACCGTACTAACAATCCAATTCATTAAACAAATCTAGGTACTTCCCTAACAATACATCCAACCAAAATCCTCAACACACACAATAAGCCACACCCTGAATATCCTAAAATGGCCATCAATGCATGATAACAACAAAACTAACACATCATTTCCCCCTACCCAAATGCGTCACAAATATCTCACACAATAGACACAGCCACACACATAATCTCTACACTAAACATCTTTTCCATACCAAATATGTTAACAGTGATTCTCATACCCTTGACAGTATAGTATCAAAATATGATAAAAATAAGTACAGTTATTATTTACATATTTATGGATAGCTATAGAGCAGGTCTGCACAACTCAAAATGTAAGGCAGGCTGTAATACTTTATGAAAAACTTGTGGGGGCGAAAGAAAATAGGACAGGGGAAAATCTATTAATAAAAGTGAATTTTCGTTTCTTCACAGGCCGGAAAGTGGGTGCTGCTGTTTTTTCAGGCCTGCTACAGAGTATACTGTTTCCTATAAATATTAATTAATAGTATAGTCTTTTTTTTGTATAGACATAGGTCAGTATAGTATTACTTACTTATGCCTTTTACCCTGTCTGAGGCATAGGTCATTGTTACGCACTGCAGTCTATTGGGAGAAATTAATCTCTTATTTTAAGTTTATGGCTCGTTCTAAACAGTGCATAACAAAAGACGATACCATATTGGAAATAAAATAGCAAAAGAATACAACACTCAAAACAGTGCTAACTACAATTAATAAGTTTTATTAAGTTACTGATAGATTATAAAATAAAAGAAATATAATTAAAATCATTAACCTACAGAGTATTGTGTTTCTTCTACCGGTACAAAAGTTGATGAAAATTACAATGTGCCAAAAGAAGATACAACGATGAATAGGAATTCACACATATAAGTAAACACAGCTCTATCAAGAATATCACACTATCAAAATAAACTTTTGTCTATTGTCCTGTAATGTAAAAAAAAAATCTCTTGTGGTAAAATGCTCTCTCGCTTTTATAGTCTGTTCTACTAAAACATCTAGAACCGCCTTACACATTGTTTTCCTTTCCAGTTCACTCCCGACCTTTCCATAAAATTCTATTAGAGCAGACGATTCCTTTTATTTAGTTGGTAGTAAACAAGGCCAAGAGACTATTTTTAGCTAGCCACACTTTAAATGAGGCGTTGAGCTAGTTTGTTGTCTGCTAGAGTTCACAGCATGGGGAAATATGACGTAAAGACATCGTCTACATAACACCATCTAAAAGAATTTTCCATTTATCTTGGTCCAATGCTTTCCTTTCCAGTTGCCTTTATCCCATTCTTTGCGTGTCTGCCTCTAGCTACCGTCTCCATGTATTCTTAGGCCTTCCTCTCTATCTTTTTCCCTGCGGATTTCGTGTTAGGAATTGCCTGATGATGTTATCTGGGGGTTTTTGGAGAGTGTGCCCTATCCATCTCCATCTTTTCTTTATAATGTCTTCAGCAATAGGCACTTCATATGTTCTTCCCTTTATGCCTTGTTGGTGATGATGTTTGGCCATTTGATGTTCAGGATCTTTTTAAGGTAAGTGTTGATGAAGGTCTGTACTTTCTGCGTAATGCTCGCTGTTGGTCTCCTAGCTTCGTCTTCATAGAGTAGGATTGTTTTGACATTTGTGTTAAAGATTCGGACTTTGGTTTGCAGTGGCAACTCCTTTGACTGCCATATTTTCTTTTATAGCACAAATGCCAATTCTAGCCCTGACAACCTCGCCAGGGATACCATTTTTGACAATGGTGCTGCCTAAGTATGTGAAGGACTCCACCTCTTCCAGTGCATTGCCTGCCAGAGAGATATATTCTTGGCTGGTTGAGTTTACCTGCATAATCTTTGTCTTGCTTTTATTTATATTCATTCAGTTGTTCCCAGGGAGTCCACTGCATCCCGTTCCTCTTTTTGTTTGTGGATTTTTTCAATATCCAGTCAGTGGCAATGATGAATAGGAAAGGTGGACATGAGAAATCCTTCTCTGACTCCTGTTTTCACTTTTAAGGCATCTTTGAGTCTACCTTTGTGTACCATCTTGCATGTCATTTCTTCATAAGAACTCCAATGATCCTGACTAGATTTCCTGGTACCCCATAGTAATGGAGAAGTTTTCACTAGTTTTGTCAGTCCAGGCTATTAAAGACCTTTTTGTAGTCGCTAAAATTTATATATAGGGGGGTGGGGGGAGGCATTCCATTTGATTGACTGTTCTACAATGATTCGTAGTGTTGCCATATGATCTGTTTTTGCGGAAGCCAGCCTGTTGATCTCATAGGTGTGTGTCAACCTGGTCCTTCATTTTATTCAAAATAATTCTATAAAAGACCTTTCCTGGTACAGACAGCAGTGTGATTCCCCTGCAGTTTGTACAGTTGCTGAGATCCCCTTTCTTTGGTATCTTGATGAGGTATCCTTCTTTTGGAACTCTCTCTTCTTCCCGTATCTTTTCAAACAGAGTGGGCAGCATGTTGGCTGAAGTATCTATGTCTGCTCTCATTATCTCTGTTGTGATGTTGTCCGGTCCTGACGTTTTTGTTATGTTGAGCTGTTTGATAGCCAGGGCTGTTTCTTCCTTATCTGGGGCACTTTCTTCTAATTGTAAGTCTTCATTTGTGGGTTGTATGTCTGGTGTATCGGTGGGTGGAGGTCTGTTTAGCAAATCCTTGAAGTGTTCCATCCATCTTTTTTGTTGTTCTTTCCTTTCCGTTATTGATCAACCTTCCTCATCTTTAACTGGTCTCTCTGCATTTTTATCTTCCTGAGAGCTTTCTTGTTATATCATAGAGCTCATCTTTTTGCTCATACATCTTGAAGAGACCTTTACAATTTTCTTGCTAATACAGATATGATCGATTTGCTTTTGTGTTTTGCTATCAGGGGACACCACAAGTTACCTTGTGGGTATTCGTATGCTGGGCTTTGCTGACCCCAATAACGAGCTCATTTGCTGCGCAGAAGTCTGTCAGTCTTTCACCGATCTCATTCCTTTCTCCTATACCATGGCGCCCTGAAGTCTGCCAGTCTTTCATCGATCTCATTCCTCTCTCGTATACCATGGCGCCCCATAATTTCTTCGTAATCATTGTTTTTTTCCAATACTAGATCTTTTCCTGGAAATTTTTCCAGTATTGCTTGTTATTTATTGTAGAAAGCTTCTTTTTTGTCTTCCTTATTATTGTTGGTGGGAGCATAGCACTCCATTAAACTCAAATCACTGCATTACATTCATATTTATTTTCTTCTTCTTGGTTTGGAAAGTTGCTGTAATAATTCTTGACCCATGGACTTCCCATCCTATCAATGCCTCATGGGCTTCCCATCCTATCAATGCCTCATGGGCTTCCCATCCTATCAATGCCTCATGGGCTTCCCATCCTATCAATGCCTCATGGGCTTCCCATCCTATCAATGAGTTATTGGCTTCCCATCCTATCAATGCCTCATGGTCTTCCCATCTATCAATGCCTCATGAGCTTCACATCATTTCAATGCCTCATAGTCTTCCCATCCTATCAATGCCTCATGGGCTTCCCATACTATTAATGCCTCATGGGCTTCCCATCCTATCAATGCCATATGGGCTTCTCATAATATCAATGCCTCATGGGCTTCCCATCCTATCAATGCCATATGGGCTTCCCATAATATCAATGCCTCATGGGCTTCCCATCCTATCAATGCCTCATGGGCTTCCCATACTATCAATGCCTCAGGAGCTTCTCATCCTATCAATGCCCTTTGTGCCATCCCTGCCATGATGAAAGCAACTCATTGTGTGTGTGTGGAGCATGTTACTCCTCATGCCTTGAGTTTATTAGTGTTTCTCCTGAGGCCAAAGTTAACTGTCTGGCTTGCGTCCATCTTCTTTCACAGATGCCTAGCAGTATGGATTTGTATGTTCTCATTTCTGCCACCATTTGTGCTGATTTTGTCTGTTCCATACATGGTTCTTACATTTCAAGGGCCTATGGTTATTGCGTTTGAAAGGAGGGTCATCGGCTTCAAGGCTTCCAGTATAACCTTGGCTGCAACTATTCTTGGGGAAGAAGAGTCCTCTCTTATCAGGACTGAAATGGTTTTGTTTTTTATTCTTGTTGACATTTCTGTAGCAGTTTGTCTTTTACAGGTGAGGTAACTGGCCTCACACCAACCCTCCTCCTAGCTGGCCTCCCACCAGCCCTCCTCCTAGCTGGCCTCCCACCAACCCTCCCCCTAGCTGGCCTCACACCAACCCTCCTCCTAGCTGGCCTCCCACCAACCCTCCCTCTAGCTGGCCTCAGACCAACCCTCCTCCTAGCTGGCCTCCCACCAATAGAGTATTATTACTACTAATTACTAACAATAGTATTTAGTATTAGGCTAATTAGGTCTTTTAGTTAGGACGTAATTTAAGTATCTAATAGTAATAAGGCCTATTTTAAAATAATATTATAAATAAAAAATAGTTGTAAAATTATTGACATAACTTAATTAGTCTGTCTATGACTTGGTTAAGTAATATATAAATTTGCCTAAACAAATCTTTATGAAGAAGCAACAAATGAAAAAATAAGACCCCAACATCATCATTTTCATAGTAATTATATTTTTATAAGGACATAGAAAAACAGTTTACATAGACAAATATTTAATATTTATAATAAAATTAAAAAAAAACAGGAATACATTTTAATAAACACAAAACTTGAATAATGTTAAAAAGAAATTTTGTAGATTCAGGATTATCAGTAGATGTTATTTCTAGAGTCTGTTTAAGGTACAAGAGAAAATGTTAATTTTCTTTGAGGAACTGGTAATTCCTTCCATTGCTAATGAGACAATTTTGGACGTATATGGCAAAGACAAAGTTATTGAAAGAGAGAGGTGTGGGATTCATCAACAAGACAAAGAAGTCTGCAGGGCAGTCTCCCCAGAAAATGACAGACAGACCATCCTCATTACCTTTTAATCACATACCAGTGCACTCTTATCAATAGTAATCTTATGGGGGCTTTTATTATTTTATAATTCATAATTTCATGCTTTCAATTTTATTTTTTTAAATGCTTTTTACTTACCTTTTCTAAATATTAGCATTGATTTAAAATTTAACTGAAGCATATCTCAATAAAATACAATGAACAACTTTAATTTTAAAAATTTTGTCTCTATAAGTAATAATTTTTTCCAATTTTTCTTTTCAGGATTTTTTTAAGTACCTCATATAAAATGATCAGAAATAAAAAGTCTTTGTTATGTAAAAGTTTGTTTTTTTTGTTCATTGTGTTTTATATTGCATTGCGAATGTTGCATGAAAATTTGGTAGCATTATCTTTTAAAATGAAAATAGTTAGCATAATAATGCAGAAATTTGGAAAGCCTGTCACAAGTTCTTGTCATTAAGTACCAAGAAAAAAAAAGGGGGTATAAAAATTCCCCCCAAAAATCATAACTCCAATTCTATAAAAGTTAGAAAGATGAAATTGATGTTTTTATAAAGCTTTTAGCTAGCCCTTTAAAATGATGTATCATTTATGGCCATAGGACAGTATTTAAACTTTCTGTTTAAGTACTTAATATAATTACTTTGTTCCTCAGATAATTTATTACAACTGAAGAAGAAGCTGAATAATGGGGAAAAGCAAAAACTTGAAACAGCATCAAAGACAAATCAAGAAGTGATCAAACTAATTTTATAACAATTTTTTCTTTTCTGTTTTTTTGGAAAATCTTCAGTTCATGAAAATTGCTTAGGTTTTAAAAAAAGATAATGAGCAGTTATTTTTTCTTATTTCTTTAAACATCTGTGGGATAAAAAATAAGTCAGACTAATTTAGTCTTTTCTTCCATTTAATTAAATTCTCTTAGTAAGTATATAATCATGTTTTTGTGTGTTCTTCTTTTACAAGATTGCATCTCTGGAAACTCAGCTGGCTAAAATTCGGTCACAGGTTGAAAAAGGTGAAGCTGTGAGACAGAGTTTAGAATATGAGCTAGCCAAAAGTCAGAGGGATGTTAACCACATTCAGCAAGTAGCTAGAGAAAAGGAGAACATCCTTTTGGCTGGAACAGATGATTTAAAAAGTATGTTGACTTTTTGTATTAAATTGATTTAAAGTCTTGAATTTAATATTATTATTTTTTAAATTAATTGATTTTGATTCAGATTTTTTTTAAATTATTTAAAATTCAACAGAAAAAATTGTGGATCTTAGCGATGAAGTGAAACGGCTTCAAAAGTCACTACAATCTATCCAGGATTGTTCCCATGAGCAGGAAAATAAATTAAAAGAAAATCTGCAAGAAACCAAGCAGAAATTGATTCATGCACAATCTGAGTTAAGCAATGCTATAAATGAGAACGAAAAACTTAATGAATTATGCCAGCAACATTCCAGGTACGAAAAGTAAATTCCATTTTTCAGTGGCAGCGTTCTTTATGTTCCAATGTGATTCAAAATATTAAAATAATACTTTTAAAAATAAAATACTAGCTTTTAATAAATAATGTCATAATACTAAAACTACTCCGATTTTTTAACAATTTTAACTATACTTATTAATTTGTAATATTTGTTTGGGCGACTATATATTATCTGTTTCTGTGTTATTTCAGACTAATCTCCGAATTGAACGAAAATCTTCAGGAATTTGAAAGTAAAAAAAATTTTGTTTTCTCATTTATTTTTTAAAATCAAAGTTTGAATTGTAAAAGCAATTAATTTTAGAGCTCCTTTCTTATATTGTTGTTAATGCATTATAAATAACTAAGTAATGATTATTTGTAAATATTTAATTATCTTAAGAATAATCATTAATTGTAACATCTTGAAAATTACTCAATTTTAAAAAAGGAAAAAAATTTTAAAAATATAAAATTAATTTTAAACAACCAAGTAGTTCATAGGTTTATATATTATTGATTCATGTGTTCCTTTTCTTCAGTGTGAAACTGAGTACTTTGATTAAAATATATGTATCTTTATTTAATCTTAAAGCCATGCTTTTTAAAATGACAATAAAATGTTAACTATAATATCCCTTAAGCAAAATTTCAGTGATAATTTAATTTACAAAGCTAATTTTAACTTTCTATAAAGCGCTACTCATTATCTAAAACACACATAGCTAATTTTTTATTTTAGACCTGAGAAAATAAACTCAGATAAATATTTTTAATGTACATTGAATGATGTATAAAATGCTGTACTATTTAGCTGGCATTTTAAAATCCCTTGTAAAATAATTATTTTTTGTTATTCTGGAATGAATTATGACAGGTGTTTGGGGTGGGGGGGGGTGTTTTGGGGGAGTGTTGTCTTGTCATAAATTTTCTCTCATGTTTTATGGCTTTCTTGGGTGGGTTGGATACGAATAAATTTTAATTTTTTTTTAAACTCCATTTTGGTCACTCATGTTGCCCTGCAAAAATATTTATTTTTCAAAAGTTTTAAAATATTCAAAGGAAAAGCTTTTCAATTTAATAAAACAAGTGAACTTTTTTTTATTGACTTTTATATGTGTTTTGCGAATTCTGGAAATGCTAAAAGTAAAATAAAGAAGATAGCATGTATGTAATAATGATTTCTTGCCACATTATTCTATTAACCTAATAATAAACGAATCAGTTCATATTTATGTTTTTAATTCATAATAGATGACAAAAGAAATTCACTAGAAAGTCTCAGGCTAGCTACTGCTGAAATTGAATATGCTAAAGAGCGAGATGCTATGACGAGGTCTGAATTGGAAGTAAGTAACAGAATAAAATTATTTTAATAGTTCAAAGACAATTTTAATGTTTGTTATCACTTACCATGCAATTTGATAATAATAATAAATAAATAAATTATCAAATTGATTTATAATCAAAGGTAATTCCACTTTTAGTACTATAATGTTTTAAAAATGTAATTTAATTATACATTTAACAGTTTTTAATTATAGATTTTAAGATATAATGTATACAATTTTTAATAATAATACAACTAAATCAAATTATAACACCTATTTAATATGCTACAATCTTTTTGCAGGCTGCTTTATCAAGAATAAAGATTTTAGAAGAAAACATTGAAGCAGAGAGAAGTGCTCATCTAGAAACCAAATTTAACTCTGAGATAGTACAGGTGGGTGGACATTCTTAGATTTTAGATAATGAAAATAATTGGGCAATTCAAAAATTGTGTATTCAGGTGTACAAATATTTTTGTGAAAACATGGTTAAATAGTCTGACCTTTAAAATTCTCAATAGCTGCGTGTCAGAGATTTGGACAGTGCTATAGATGTTGAGAAGTCTGCAAATCGGGAAGCAAACAAAGCTGTTGAAAGACTGGCACAGCAATGCAGGTAAATAAATGCTATAAATTCTTTTGGGGTACTGATAAAAATAGAAATCATTTATTGAGTAAAAACAACACCAAAACAGATTATAAAAAAAAAAAATTATATGAATTCAAAAATCAACAGCTTAAATTAAATTAATTTTTTTTTTTCTCAAGGGAGCTAGAACGTGTTTATGAAGAGGAAAGAAAACTAAAGAAAGAGGCTGCTCAAAAATTAGACAAGTAAGTGATTTTATCATAATTTGGTGTGTTGCTTTATTGATGTTCATGAACTTTATATACTGTATAAAGTATAAACGAAATACACTATATACACTATAATATTATTATGATTGTTTCACCATATTGATCTGTTTACTTATTTATCGAGGTACAATTGGCCTTGATTGCATCAAGTTTCAATTGGGAAAAGGTTATTTACATTTGAATACGCTCTAATTTGTTCCAAAGAATGCTATCAGCTTATGGAATTTGCAAAATTTCTTTTCTGGAGGGTTGTAACTCCCTCCCTTTTAATAAGCCAGCAGATTTTCCAGCAGGAAGGGATTTTTTGGTAGATTTCCTAGACACTAGACATTAAATATTAATAGGAGCTATACAAGATTTTACTTTGTGTGTTGTGTATATTAATATTAGTATCTTTCACCGATTGTACTCTTCCCTTGCTGTGATGTAAGTGAATTATAGTTTTTATTTCTGTCTATTTGATTTTGTATTTGTTATAAATTTAATAGTAAAATTAAATTGAATATTGTTTATGTCACAAGCTTTGGTATCGTTTATCTTTCTATACTGGTTTGTAACTGTATATAACAGTACATAACAAAATCTAATCCAATTTTTATGGATATAATTATGTACAAATTATTAACTTGAAATTAAAAAGAATACCAGACATAGTAGTTTTTGGTAAGAATTACATAAACAGATTTTTTATAATGGTACCAACCAAAATTTTCTCAAAGTTACGACTATGCGTAACACTAGTACAAAAGTATTGGGCACCAACACTCTGCTTCCATATTTTGATATTTAGACAGTACCTCATTGATAGCTTACCGATTTCAAAGGTCACTTTGAATGGACCAATGGGATTTAAGTTTAATTTAAAACAACTTTGAATTTTTTCAAAGATGTAAACAATGTTCCTATGCTATCACTTTGCACATGTGCTTAAAACATGTCATTTCCTATAGGCTTGGTCAAATAAATCAGTTGTGGTGAAATGACTTTGTTTGGTGGGTTAGTGGGGACAACTCTCATATACGTTTATCACCAGCTCATTTCTAGCAGTTTTATGTTTTATCAAATTCTCACACTAAGGGACATAATTATCAACATATTCAGTTATCCCTAAATATCAAAGAATCAAACACAATTTTAAAATTAAATAAACTTATTTATTTACATGAATTCAAATAAGATCCATTATAGCTCAGGATGTGGAATAAAATTGGTTATAAATTATGTGTAGTTTCTATAGATTATGAACATTGGCCTCCCGTAATGCCTAACATTCATCATAATAGTCGCTTTGCTTTGTATCAGAGCTCTCTGCGATCAGACTTTTAAAACTCAACTTATACATCTAAAATGGTTCTGATGATTGGACTTGATTAATCAATTGTGAGGTTACTTCAGTTTATGAAGTGGTTTCTCCAGTCCTTTTCTTTGATGCTTCTCAGGGCGTTAACGAAAAAAGACAACATAGCCGTACATTGCGGAATAGCTTTTTTCTTGTACTTTGTGATGTGTGAGGACTTTCCAGTGATGCATCTGTTGAGGAGGCTTAAGTCCTATCAGCATGCTGTCCTATGGAGGCAGGCTAAGGGCTTGGTCTTCCTCAATCCAGCTGTTAAGGTGCTGTGATTTCTTGCACTGTGGCAATATGGAAATATAGTAACCAGGCCTTAACCAACTCGCTAGGTTTAGAAATTGGCTAAATCCCTATCATGTGCTAAATGAGACCTATGAATTTAATATTTAGATGCGCATTAAGATCTCCACAGACTAACAACAGTTCACCCGTGGCAAAAAGGTGGTTGGGGTGTAAAGGGTGGGGGGGGTGGTCTGTTGGGTAGTGAGCGATTCACGTGGACAAAAATCAAATGGGAATAATTTGTGTAGAACTCAAAAGGTGGGGGAGGAGGGGTGCATTCTCAGGGGGGGGGGGGGGGGGGGGGGGGGGGGGGGGGGGGGGGGGGGGGGGGGGTCTGTTGGGTAGTGAGCGATTCACGTGGACAAAAATCAAATGGGAATAATTTGTGTAGAACTCAAAAGGTGGGGGAGGAGGGGTGCATTCTCAGAAGGAGTTTTGAATATATTGAAATTTGAATGCAAGCCTTATAACGTCACATCAGTATACTATTGAAAAAATTCTTCAGTATGTTGACAATGTCTTATAATGATTTAGCCTTGCTTATTATTTCATGAAAATTTTTTATTTGTGTTTCAATTGGTTTATGATTCAGGATGGATAAAGAGTACACATCAATGAGGAGACAGTTATTGCTAGAAGTGGAGGACAAGAAATCTGTTATAGTTAACTTATCTAGAGAGCTGGAGACTCACCAGAAAAACTTCAATGAGCTGAAATCTGAGCTCACTAAGGTAAAGACACACAAAAATGTGGAAATGTAAAATGAGCATACTGTCATAATGTGTCATTGGTGCTTCAACAGGATTAACTTTTGAACCAATTCGCTGATTACTTTAAGGAATAATTCACTATGCACGTTGAGAAAATGTTGTTGGTAATCTTTTGCAACATTTAGTATGTGGATTCTTAAAGAAGTGGGTTGGATGTAGGTTTAACTTTCTGTACTCAAGGGCAGTGATGTGCAGCCCCATTGAAGACTCATTGTGTTATCAAGATCCCATAACACCATATCAATGAAACAATTGAAGAGTATATAAAAATATGATTGTCTGAGTAGGTTATGAAATGTCTTGAGACTTGTACAAATCGAATAATGTTGCTAAACATTGTTATTTCCAAATCACTTTCAGGCTAAGAAACGGCAACAGTTTCTAGAGGAAACCTACGAGGGATCTATTAAAGAGCTGGAGTTTCTTTTACAGACGTTTCATTTTGAAGATAAAAAGCTAAGTAGGTCGATTTAGGTTGTGAAATCTTTGAATTTCCTGGTCCCCAATAAAGTCTTACTCTTTAGTTCAATTTTTGTGCGTCTGCTTGAGTTAAGTTTTCATCTGTTACTCATGACCAGGACAAGCAAGACAAGGGGAAGCCACCAGTGTGTCTAAAGGAAAGAAGGTTGCCAACCCAAGCATTGTGGTGGAGAGTTTTAAGCAAATGCTGGTTCAGATGAAGAAAAAATTAGATGCACAAGCTGAAGAGGTACACTGTGTAGTTTACAATACTTTTCTTCATCAATTAACATGTGTGTTGATGCAAGTGCTTTCATTACATTGTTTATTGAGTTAATGGAGTAATTTTCACTGAAATCTTGTCTACCAAACAGCGACAATGATTCCAAAAACTGTATTTACTTTTATTTTGCAGCTTGTTAAATCCAAGAAGGGAATTGATAAACTTACAAAGGAGCTTGAGTCATGTAGAGAACTGATCAAGACAAAAGACAAAGCCCTTGAGGTTTGTTGGACAGTTTGTTTTTGTGATTAGAGTGGATTGATCATACAAGAATTACCTGTCTTATTAACTTGGTCAAGATGATGGCAAATTTTCAATTATACTTTTTGGAGGCCTAATATTAATTACATATGCAAATACTGACATAAAATAATTTCAAATATGAGTTTCAAACTAAATCTGCAGCTTTGTTTCAGTGTTAATTTTATTTTCATGAGAAAAGCTCGATACATTCATAATTGTTCACCATTAGGATGCTCAGAAATCACACTCCAAAGCAGTGCAAGATCTGCAGAAAACAAGATCTAATTACACAGAACTTGAAACAACTATTGGTAAACTTAAGACAAGTCTCCAGATTAACACAAACAACCAGGACAAAGACAGAACTCGCATTCAGGAGTTAAGTGAAGAGGTTAGAAATTTGGGCTTTTCTTAAGTAGTATTGTAATGGAAAGGAAAAAAAGTAAAATTTAATATTTCATGTGTACACAATCAGGTAGCAAAATTTTAAAAATCCTCCTGAGTTGTTGAGTTTTGTTTTTCAAAGAAAGCAATTACAGGTACTGGTTTAACTACAATTACAGGCACTGGTTTAACTACAATTACAGGCACTGGTTTAACTACAATTACAGGCACTGGTTTAACTACAATTACAGGCACTGGTTTAACTACAATTACAGGCACTGGTTTAACTACAATTGCAGGCACTGGTTTAACTACAATTACAGGAACTGGTTTAACTACAATTACAGGCACTGGTTTAACTACAATTACAGGCACTGGTTTGACTACAACTACAGGCACTGGTTTAACAGTTTAACTACAATTACAGGAACTGGTTTAACTACAATTACAGGCACTGGTTTAACTACAATTACAGGGACTTGTTTGACTACAATTACAGGCACTGGTTTGACTACTTTACAATTACAGGCACTGGTTTGACTACAATTACAGGCACTGTTTTGACTACTTTACAATTACAGGCACTGGTTTGACTACTTTACAATTACAGGCACTGGTTTGACTACTTTACAATTACAGGCACTGGTTTGACTACAATTACAGGCACTGGTTTGACTACTTTACAATTACAGGCACTGGTTGACTTACATGCAGAATATAATACATCAAAATTGATTTTCAGATAATGAAGTTAGTCAAGCGTCGGAAAACTGAAGAAGAGGTAACCAGTTGTTTCAATCTTAGAAAAAAATTCATAAATCTGTGATGGAAATGAATTTGAGGAAAAAAGTTTTTATTTAAGTATTTCTTAACAAAAATTAAGGCAATTTTTTTTAACCATTGAAATCAGTTATTTTAAATGTATGCAATAACTTTTACGCTTTCTCCAGGATAGGATGGTATTTTTACAAGAACTTTATCAATTACTTAACTCAAGTCAACTTTGCTCATTACATGAGAAAAAGTTCAACCAGTTTTCCTGGGATGATCTTAAAGATGTGGTGTTTGAACAAGTCTCAAGTCTGATTGACTTGCTGCAGACAACTGATGGAAAGGTTAGTGTGATGACGTATTGTCCTTATCCACATAAGACCAACATTAATCTGATGAGTTCTCCTTTTTATAACTTGCTGCCTTCTTTTAATAAGTTTTCCAATGTATTTCTGAAATATTTATTTACAGTTAAAATCCTATAACACAATGATGCGTGAACATCAAGACATAATAACTGAGCTAAAACAGACCCACACCGATCAAATCAGCAGACTAACAAACACAGTTCGAGAAAAGGAGCAATCTTGGCAGAGGCAAAGAGAAGAGTTAGAGCAGCATTATAGTCAAATGCTCAATGACTTGCAGTCAAGATCAAAGGTTTTTATACATTATATCCATTCAATTTTTGTCTTGCAGCTTAAAAAAAGAACTTCTTTGATGTCAAATCTAAATAATAAATGTCAAGATGAAGACAGTTTAAACTGGTGCTTCCAATTTTGGTCAATATTCCTAAATTCGCTTTTTCTTTGTTTAACAACACACCACTCAAACATGAATTTAGTCAAAATATTCTAAAAAGTCAAGCTTGAATCTAATCTTTAGTCTAGGATGTCATATTGGCAAGTACTTATCTTAATCATTAAATATTTTATGTATTTACCTACACGACTGGAAATGGAGTTTTGAATAACCATTTTGAGTAATGAAGGAAAAAGTTTAAGAACCAATGGTTTATGATAATAGTATAATAGATTTCTTTTATTGTCCTGTCCTATTTATAGCTTCTACATACCTCGTTCTTCAATTTTCTTATAAGAAATTGAATATAGTTTTATAATTAGGAATATATATATAAAAAACAACAACTTTGTATTGTCAGAAAGATTATAAAATGTTATTGGTTGTTTCAATGTTATCTAGCCGTTAAAAAATAATTAAGAAAATATCAACAGTTCTTAATAGCATAGGATTTTCATAAACAATAAATTATTTTTTGCCACCAGAAAACACAAGCCATTGCAGACCAAGCTTGGGAGAAAGTCAGAGCTACAGGCAATGTCCAGCAGGGTCTGGAATCAGAGTTACTAGAGCTCAGACGTCAGCTAGCAGAGTCTCAGGTTGTTACAGTTGTACCATTGTTGGCTTTTGTTTCAATGAACAATGTCACAGCAATTTAAGAATGCAAAATTATTCACTAAATCTCTAGGTTTCTAAGCTCATGTACTATCCAGATTTGTTTTATCATCTTATGTTTAATATAAAACTTAAAATGAAGATTGATCAGATGAACTGTTAAAAAAACATATTTCTCTCACAAACACAGATAACTAGCTCTTCCCTCCTGTCAGCGTGTGCTTTGCTTAGTGGAGCTCTCTATCCTTTGTACACAAGAGCATCACTGCTTTCATCTGAACGACATATACTGGAAGAACTGTATTCTAAGTGGGAAAACTGCAGAGACAGAGGTATTTATCTCAGCTGTGTGCTTAGCTCTGGTAAAGAGAGTGACCAGGACACACCAAAGGATACAAAAATACTTATAAAAAAACATCCACTTCTGAAGTTCAGAGTCGGTGTTATTACTGTTCTTGCCGCGAACCGACTAGCTTTCCTTGGAAGAGGATTCCCCAGTTGTTTCGTCACATACTCTTCTACTATAGGACATGCAGGTCTGAGTTTTAAAACTGGAACCCAAGAACAAAAACATCTAAAGTTTTCAGGTAATAAACCAAAATATAATTTTAATAAGTCTTGTTATATTTTACTCTTATTTTGTTTTAAAATAATTAAAACTATTTATCATAAAGGTTTGTAATAGATAATAAATGAACTAAATCCATATTACTATGCATAGCTTAACATTTTTAAATTAAATGATATTGAGCTGAGCGCATTTAAAAAAAAAATATTACACATTTTAAAATGTTGCAAATTGTTTCAAATACAGCACTAAAAAAAATCTTAATCTGCGCCACTGATAAACGATCCAGTGGATTTCATGTATCATTTGCTTTCAGTTAATAGTGTTGTCACATTAAGCACACCTAACAACAGAGGTGCAAGAAATACATAATTGTGAATCATTGATAATTTTACTTTAGTTCTCCGAGTCCTTCTTTAAACCTATTGCACAAGATTTTGATTGAGATAAAATGAGTGTCTACATACTCCACAGAAATCTCTAAGCACTTGATAGACATCTCACATTCTTCCTCTCTTAAATCTCACAAAAATTGATTATTTTGTTATTTATATCTGGTGAGATTTTTAAGTGACTTTTTAAGCAAATTTTGGCTCAAGAGTTGTTTCAAAACACACTTCTGAAAAAGAAATAGAAATGACAAGGGAAATTACCTTTCTATCTTATTTTCTTAAGGTTTGGTTGGATTAGAAGAAGAAGACAACAGTTTTATATCCAGTTCTTCCACTGAGCAAGCAAATAACTTGACCTCATGGTTAAATAGTCCAACTCTGCTTCAGACTATACTAGCAAGTATGACAGAGCTGCAGGAAGTCACACAAGAAAACAAATTGTGTATGAATATTTTTTAGCGAACAAGTTTGTAAGAACATGTCTACTGTTAATTCTTTGTTTAGTTGGTCATATCATTACCTAATTACATAAGTTTTAACTTATAGTTACAAAATAAATATGATGCCAAAGCTGGACATAGTAGGCTTCAATAAAATAAAATTTAAATATGCTGCTTGTAAGAATGAGCATGAAATTTTGGTTAGATTTCTGGTAATGCTGTCAGCAGTTTGCCACACAGAATTAATACTAATGTTGGATAAGATGGAAAACTTTTAATTTAATTGCATTTTCAAACAGCTAATAGTGACTCCAGGACAATTGTGTCGGTTGCAAGATCAACTTTAAGTAAACTTGTTGACAGACTGTCCAGCCTTTTCCCCACTTTAACATACCCTGCACAAAGCTCTCTACGAGACAGGTCATCTTTGCTACGTAAACTGGAAAAAAACTTGTCACATATTCTTGAAAACACACCTATAAATCTGAAAGGAAACATCATTTCCTCACAGGTAAAATTTCTTTTTTTGTTTAAAAGCATCAAATAAGATGAGTTCTGTACATCAGTAAAATGATTATTGATGTAGACTAAATAAAATTAAAGAATGTAAAATAATTTTATATTATGCAAAATAGTTTTATATAATGTTTAAACATGTACAGTGGTCACACATTGATTATGGTTTTGTGACTTTAATCTGCTTTTATTATATTATTTTTTTTCTCCTCAATTTTTGCAAAAAAATTGTTATACTTTATTTACACTTACACAATTTTAAATCTTGTACATCTTTTAATTTTTCAATCCTCAGGAACTTATGAGCAATCTCAAGAACCATATTTTAGAACTGACGCAGCGCCTTGAAACAGTAGAGAAAGAAAGGAGACGTCTGCTAACAGAGTTAAGTGAGCTAAAACAACAAATAGGGGAGGATAACTCTGGACAACAGGACACTGAAAAGGATAATGCAAAAGTAAGTTATGATGTGATGATCCATTTCAAGGGGTCATTGAAACATTTAAGGATGCAAATCTTAACTGTGGAGTTAAGATTTTATATCTGTACTGATTAAGCCATGATAAAGAAATTTTCCAAATTAAAATTTATAAAGAAATTTTCCAAATTAAAATCTAGTAAACATGCCACTCATTCACTCACTCATCTATTTTATGTTTCAGACGACCAAATATGTCCCCGTTTCCAAATTTGAAAGAGTCTGTGCAGAGCTAAGTAGTGCCCTTCGAAGGGAACAGAAAGCCCAATCGTTGTTACAAGAACAAAGTAACCAACTAACAGAATTAACATCTCGACTGGACTTGTGTACATCCGATGAGATACAAAAGCAGACTACCTTAATTAGTTTGCAAGAGGTGAAATTTCTAATTGCTAAAATATTTTACTGCAAGTTATGTTTTACCCATGAACCAGACAGTTAATTTGTAACCACATGAATAAGTGAAACAAAAATGTTATCTAATAATTAATAACCATAAAAATCTCATGTTGAAAACTAACTGGATAGGTTGGTAGAAATGTAAATATTGATTTAAAAAATAATTAATCTTCCAATTTGAACATAAGACATTTGGCATTGCTCTATGCCAGGGGTGTCAAACTCAATCACTCACCGGGCCAAAACTCAAATCACATGTAAGGTTGCGAGCCTAGCAGGATAAACATTCAATAAGCGGGAAAATTAATATTTAAAAAAAACATTTATATAAATGAAAATGGAAAAAAAGTTTTAATAATTAAAAATCATTGGCATACACATTTTCTTGGCTACAAAATTAAGTAAGTTCGTTTATGTTGGAAGTAACGTTCTGTGTCATTGAGATTCTCATGATGGACTGCAAGTGTTGATCAGTGAGACGACTCCTGTGTGATGTTTTGTTAATGTTCATCACAGAAAACAGCTGCTCACACATATATGTGCTACCCAACATGCTCAAAGTTCGAGCCGCATTTAGACGAAGCTGGGGCATCTCTTCAGGAATGAAACGAGTGAATTGTGCAGGCCCAACTGTGACGTACTTTGCCTTTTGTGTCCCATTACACTGCAGCTCTATTAGCTCCATCTATATATTTACAGGTGCAGTTTTCACGACTATGACAAATGGGTTACGAAACAGCTCAAAATTACATTTCTATGCGAACTCATTGTGAAGTAAGATAAATTTTTCAGCAAAGTGTGAATTGGGAAACACCATAGCGTTGACTTGGATATAATTGTACGTCAGTCAAGACCTCGCGTGCCTGATATAATTGTACGGCAGGCCGGATGTGGCCCGCCGGTCTTGAGTTAGACACATGTGCTCTATACACTTATGCAACTTTATTAAAATTATGTGACTTAATTTTGTTTAGAATTTATTTGCTATTTTTAGGCCCTGTCTGAGGCACAAAAGGAGTTGAGACACAAGGAACAAAGTCTTCGCCATACTGGCAAATTGATAAACCGAACAGAATATGAGAGGAATTCATTGCAAAGCAATCTGAATGATGCGGAAAATGCTCTGCTTACTGCAATCAGGTAAAATAATTAACCTGAATGAAGCTGCTTGTAAAGTAGAAATATCTTAGTTCAATTTCTTTCTTTATTTTGTAAAATACAAAAAAGTAGCTCTGCATCATGTCATACATAGCCATTTTTACAATAGAATTTTGTTGTTTTACCTGCAGGGATAAAGAAGTCCTGACTTTATATATCACTAATGTTGAAAGTGCAATGGAGAAGGTATACATTTTGGTTATAGATTAATACATATGAAGTATAATTATTTGCATGATTAAGATTTTATCAAATTAAAAGAATTAAATAAGCATATTTAGTTTTTTGTTTTGTTGATCTTCTATTTTAAAACTGTTTGATAAAGGTAAAGTTTTCAAACTAAGGAATTTTATTTAATTGTATAAAAATGAAAAGTAAAAGCATTGTACAGACGAGACATGAATGATATTTTATCTCTCTTAGGCCAAGAAGCAGTTTATAATCCATTCTGATCAGAAGCCACTGTCAGGAGACATGTCATTATCACGTTTCCTCCTTGATGCTGACCTCATCCCTCAAGACATTGGTCGAGCTGGACCAGAATTGATAGCCATTCAGGTCATTCAGTTCAGAAGATGGGATTTACTTTTTTAAATTATGGATTGATAATCTAAAAGCAATTAATTTTCATTTATTCTCTTGATTAGATGAAGAAAAAAAACTAGTTAATAGTATGATGATATTTAAAAAAATATTTATTCAAATGGTTAGAAAATCTTATTTTTCATGGGACCCTTCTTATTTTCATTTGTGAAAAACTAGTTAAGCCCGCATCATGAAGAGTTAAATTTTTATTTTATTTTTTCATTTTATTTCATTTTCAGAATCTGGTAGGATGTTTTATAGAAGCTCAGAATCAAGCTGTGAACAAAATTAGAGCCTTGATGCAAGAAATCACCTCACATCGTGATCACATTGATATCTTGAAACAAGAACTTAATAATGTTGCGCACAGAGAATACAATCAACAAGTAATTGAGACTTTTGAACTCTTATTGAAAGATACGTTCTCTAAAAATAACCAAAACTTAATTATGTAGTACCAATGTTCTTTTGAGGTTTCAGCTTTTGGCCTAGTCAGCAGGCTGAGTAAATCTTAAGGTCAATGTCAAAAACCCCTATGGAGAACCAGCTGAGTAGCAAGGAAAGGGAATGAACAGGTCACACTTCAGCTTTTAGGGGGTAATGCTCAAATTCTTAGTAACTGGCAAGGTAACATTTACCTTATTAAATTTTATTGTATTCCTACATTTCTTATTGCTGCAATCCTTTTACTTATTTGAAGGTGGATGAAACTACTGACAGTGTCACTGCATTTAATGGAGAATCTGGAACAATTCTTTTTCCACTTAGGTAAGTTTTATTCCTAAAATAGGGGATACAAAATTTATATAAATTGCAACATTGTAGTTAAGCTAACCTGCAACCTCTCACCCATCTCAGTAGGAGAATGAGAAGATAGGTGATATCTATTCCAACCCATTAAGAAGTTGCTACCTTAAAATTGCACATGGCTAGAAGAGCTCCCAGGTAACTTTCCTTCTTGTGTAAATCAAAATGGCAGCATTTAGTGGGACATTTCTGTTCATGTTCATTGTTGACCTGGCTCACATTACAAAGGAGCAAACTACCAAGCAGCAGATTAAGTCTGGCAGTGCTGTTGCTGTCACCTATGGTTGCCATTTTTTTCTCTCTAGATATTCAGCTTTTAGTAGAGAGGGATTAAAATGATTCCTCTTTATAGTTATTACAAAGCTTTGCTGTTGTTTCAGTTTACTTACTATATTAATGTCAATTATTTAATATAGGCTGTGAAATGATAATTACTAGGGCAAGCACATATATTTTAACAATTAAAATGGTGAGGATTTGTTTACCTTACATCATTTGTCATTCAGATAACCTTGATTCAGTACCAAATAACAAAATGTATCTCTTCCAATTTGTTAAATTATGATGATATATATTTTTTTTAACATCTCTTAAATTTCCTCTGTAATTTTATTATAGATTTAACCCAAATAAAAATTAGTTATTGTTTGTTGATATCAAATTTAAATGTAATTTTCCTTTGGTTAATTTATCTTGAATAACTTCAGGCATGAGCAAGATGTGTCATTAGAAGACTCACCATCCAAGACTCCCAAAACTGTGATTACTCCACCAATTTACCACAGCAAAAAGTCAGCATTTCATTCTGTAAAGTAAGATTTTGATATTTCTTGTTGTTTTCAATTCATTATCATTGCTTGAAAGCTCCATTTATTAAAATTATTCAATCTGTGAAACATTTAAATATGTTCAATATGCAAAAATTTAACGTCACATGATGTGATTGCATGTGAAAATTCCAATTATTTATCCAATTTAATCACACTATTAAAATTACTCAATACAAAAAACGTTCTGGCAATAACTTTTCTATTTTTAGCTTTTATATTTAAATGCCTGTTTCATTCATGGTCAATATTTAGCGCTGACTCATAATTTTGTGTCCTCTTTCATAAAATGCACAGATCAAGAAACCACCAAACTTCAAAAAAGTCCCCTAGTCACAACTGAAAGAAGATAATACAAAACAATCTCACAGCTAATGGACTTCCATTCTTTCGTTACTATATTACTATATTTTACTGTTTTGTAAAATCATTCTATTTAAAAACTTTTTGTAATAATAACTACCGGTACTTGGCTGTTCATTAAGTGTTGATTTTAACACATTGGATGACCTCCCCTCTTCTAGTTATTTATCCTTAATAAATATAAATCCTGTATGATGTATACGGATTATTTATTCAATGCTGACTTATAATGGCTTATAATGACTTATAATGGATTTATGATAGTTAATGCTCAATGGGGATTTCACTTACATTTGTTTTTACAATAACAAGAGATAAGATTTTAAGAACACTGTCAACACTGTTTATAAGAATGTTCTCCTATAGTTTGTTTATGAAGTTTTGTATAAGGGGAATTAGGCTACTTTTTTGCTATTATTACTCAAAATAAGGGAGACAAAAACGTATTAAAATAGTTTTAGCCTCTCTGAGATCTGCAGATAGCTATTTTTCTAACTTTCATGTTGTATTTATGTCAGCATATTTTATAATTAAGAAAATTAACATTTAAATAAGTCTCTCTGTAAAATCATCTGTGATATATTAACATTATATTTTTGTATCTACACATAAATAAATAAATATTTGTTCATATAAAAATGTGTCAAAATTCTTATTTTAAATATGTATTAATTTCATATGCTGTTGATATTTCTCTCATCAGTGGTGTATTCTAAAATTTTATGACATCTCAATAATATCCTGCAACCAATAGCGCAATTTACCATGTTAATACCCCCAATGGTAGCACATAGTGGCGTAGCTAGGGGGGTAGGACCGCACTGGGTGACACCGTCTCAGGGTTTGACACAATATTGAAAAATTGCATATTTACAGAGAACACACAACTGATCTAACCGAAATTTATAAAAAGATAACCGAACACACCTAAATTTTCCACACATATCCAATCCCAATGTGTGCTAAATTAAAAGTTCAAGATTGATGTGTTAGAAATGAGGTAACCCTATAATTAGGTCATAAGAGACAGGAAGATGTATTTATCACAATTCTTTGAAATAAAGCTTTCCATTGATACCAACTACGATGTGGTCGGGCGATTCTAAGTACACGCATAGAATCGGTTAAAATAGGTAAAAATTAAAAACATTTTAAAAAATAACTTTTTACCCATTCTTAGCAGGCCTGCACAACATGCGGATCGCATGCGGCCTGCAAGCAATCTACTTTGCTACCGCAAAGTAACAAGTTATTATTTTTTTTAAAAATTAATTATTTTCCCCCGTCTTATTTGCTTTTGGCCCACACAAGTTTTTCATAAAGTATTAGGCCCACCATACATTTTGAGTTGTGCAGGGCTGATTTATAGTGTTAACAAAATAATATTTGACAACAGTAATATTCTTTTAATCATTAATTTAAATTTATTTAAATTTTTAAAAATGTTTTGGAAACCAAATACATCGAAACCCAGAAATACTCAAAAATTAACATTTGCGCCGATTCATCACTAGCACCGCCCCCGCCAGTTGAGCATGATTGACAGGTTTGAAGACCAGGAAAGGAAAGTTTTAAATAAAATAATTTAATGTTAAAAAAAAAATAACTATATCTTAACATTGTTACAGTTCTTTAACAACATTTATCCCCTGACTTCTTGTTACTGTTCTGCTGTGAACTTATTTTAACAAGTAGAAAGGGGGGGGGGGGGGGGGGGGGGGGGGGGGGGGGATGACACCATGAGTTTATCGCAGTGGGTGACACAACCCTAGCTACGCCACTGGTGGCACATTAAAATTGCTTGGACCTCTCTTTTCAAGTAAATACAAACATTAATTGTATCTGTTTTCATTACCTTTAGAAAAATTATGTTAATTTGTTATTGCAAACAAGACAGGACTTGACAGCTAATTTTTAACTACATTAAACATTGCATATGATAAAATTTCAATTAAATTTCTATAAGAATAGGTAGTCTATCATCAGTGTCGTAGCTATTGGGGGCTCAGTGGGTGACCCCCCTCCCCCCGGGACCATATTGTTAATGTTTAGGCCTATTACCAAGTTACCAACATATAATAGATATGTGTGGGGGTAAATGGGAGTTCGCCCCCGTCCTACACTTAATATGGCTCTCGGTATCTCACTAGGTCTTAAAAGCAACATTTCCACATTGTGTGTGTTGGGTACTTTGGTAGAGAATAAATACTTTAAACACTGAAGGACAAGGGACAGCTGCGGAGCCATGATGATGGCATGAACAGTAACTGCAAGTATTATGAGATGAAAATATTACAGATAAGGACGGGTCATATAATTAGGTCGTACCAAAAAGGAAAACTGGAATAAATCTCAGCTGCTCCGACAACGCCAGCAATTTAAATATCAAGGAGGGATTTTCACTAATGGAGGGTAAAATGGACAGAGAAATGGACCCACTATTAAGACACTGTCACAAAGTCGAATTTTATTGTTTTCTTTCATCATATTCCTTCAGACGCAGTAGTCTCACCGAAATGAACAAAAGGCTTTTTTCCATTAGCAATGTAAACTTAAAATACAGAAACATATCTATAACTTGGTGATAGTATCAGGCTGTACGTTTAATCAAACACACTTATAACGTAGATCAAGATAAGAAGGAGAATAATCACATAACCATTCACTACAACTTACTACAAGGTTCTTTCATCGACTGCTGGACCAAAAATTCAGGTACGCTAAGGACAGTTTAGACACTACGTTATAATTACAAATAAATATACGTCACCTACTTAAAGGCCGGAAAAGCGTTCATTAACTACTAACTCTCAAAACACACCTCGCACAATAAAACACAATATAGGCCTACGGTGCGCAACGATTACTAGTGAATACCCATATTTGACAGACACCCAAGAATAAAAGTGGAGACCAAAACCATGCTACAGTAATAAACGATGTCCTTAATCCAACCCTTATTTACCAATGTCAGACTGAGCTGAATAAAACTATCTAGATACCTTCTTCACCTGTGAGATGAGGTGTTTCATTAAGGCGAGAAGCTGGAAAACGAAAAGGGACCACATTTGGAAACAGGATATAAGACAAATCGTTGGTACCATACCAGACAGTTTAGGACCCAAAAGCAAATTAATCATTATTGGTTTGGCCATTTGGTTTGAATGCTGGTCAATCAACCTGCATTGCAATTAAGCACACCTCTAAACTTCACAACATGCACATTCAGCAGGCCTCACACCTTGCGACAGATTGCCAACCGACCCGCCCCACGACGCCTCCCCGGTCATGATGGACAGAAGAATAATTCTCATATTTCTAAATTGTATTTACTTTTTAATAAAATTGTTTTTTAAATATTTTTTTTGGGGTTAAAAATCCCTTAAATAATGGTGAGTTTATTATAGTTATAGCCTTTGAGACAGTCATCATGATATTATGGATAGACCTAAACTACTAATGACTAATGAGAATTCTAACATTTAATTACTTCTTTCTTCATATAGAGTGGGTCATAGATTTTATCCGGGACATTTTGCCCCCACATTTAAAGAGGCCTCAAATGTACACACGATCTTATTCATAAATAAACGCTACCCCCAATACAAGCCCATAAAATGACAGTTACTGACTTTACTAGACATTGATTTTAGCTTAGTAAGCTTAGTTAGGCCTATTAAATATAGTATATTAATTGTGGAATTCCATGTCAGAAAAGTTATGATATTATTCATATTTATAAAGGTATCTAACATATACAAGACAATTACATTTTTATTTTAAAATTTTAATTCAAACCAGGATAGAATATCAAACCGACCTGTTAAAACCTAACTACACCCCGCTAATCACATCAACTACTGTTCAGTTAAATCCATCATGGGTACTTTTAGAAGTTTTACACCGGAATAATTTGACAGAGAAGAAGAAAAAAAGTGGACTATATTGCCGGAAGTTGGTCCATTCCAAAATCCATTATTATTAAAAGAGAGTAATCAAGATGAAAATGGCAAACGAACCAATACCAGTTATACGAAGGAACAGACCGGGGACAAAAGCAAAGGTTTGATAATTTTTACCATTTGTTTGAAACACCCCCAGTCTCATATACAGTCAGTCATTCGGTTAATTAATGATGGTAATTCCTGTCGGTGACCCAGGATGCTTGCACCCCCTCCGACGAGGCCTCCCCCCTCCTCAATGATGCTACGGTTCGACACTTAACTATCAATAATATCTTTAGGACGGGTCTATATATTATAATTTGTCTCCTCTAACCCTATGCATATGACTACTATGAGTTTATTAAGTATTAGGGAGCTACTTGTAAATGAAATAATGATTTAGTCTTATACTTATAATATATACTTATAGTTATAAGTTATATTTAGTCATACAACCATCCACACCCCTCCCCCCCCCCCCCCCATGTTCCCTCTAAGGTTTGTTGGTTTGTGTGCAAAATCATACAGTTGTGTGCAAAATTTTACAGCCCACAAACACAAACTTACATGGAAATTTGCTGCGCGGATACTAAAAACTGCTGCGCGGATACTAAAAACTGCTGCGCGTCGTCTGTGAGATAGCGGCGCAACCGCGCAGCTTAAAGGGAACAAATCCCCCCCTTTTTATTTTTGGTCTCAACGCAAAGCTCATCTCTATCACCCCCTGCCCATAAATTTGATACATTTGCATTAGGATAATATTGATAGGGCCAGGGGCATTGGCATTAGTGCAAGTATAGTAGGTAATGATTCATAATTTACTGAGTTATGCTTTCAGTTTGAGTATTGTAAAGTATACTCACAAAGACTGATAGTAGTGATAGACAAACTTATTAAATGATTGGCAGTGTTGCCATTGGGGAGTTAGAAAAAATGAAATATGATATTTTCCGAAGCCTGATAATGATAAAATTTAAAATGAAGATATTGATTTATTGAAAGTGTACTGATATTTTATTCAGCTTTGACCTTTGAAAAATTTACTTTTCCATGAATATCAAAATCAAGGATTCAAGGCCATTGGACTATTAATTTATTGTTTTCTTCCTTAATTTTTATGAAACCAGGATTAAGTCTATCCAAATGCAAACAAAACTCACTAGACAAGTTCATAGAGTGTAAAGTTTTTATTACTATTTTTTAAAGCAAGTTTTGCAGTGTACAAAAAATGTCCCTTCATTAAATCCTAGTTGGTTCAAAACTAATTTTTTGTAAAAGATTTATTTAACTGTGATGACAGAAGTTGTTCATAAGATGTTTGAGGTATTCTCAGTTGCAAAGGACATGTCGTTAAAACTAATATGAAACTTTGTGGAGGCTGGTACATCTAATACCAGCAATTTTATTTAACTTCATAGTAGTGTATATATATGATATTTGTGTGTAATGCAATTCAAATATATATATATATATATATATATATATATATTGGTGCAACAGGATTGGTGCAATTGGGAAGATGAATCATTTGAAGAAATGGACAGTACTTTGGCAGTTCAACAGGTAAAACAATACCTAACCCATTCATTGTTTAATAGTTTTTGATATCATTTATATTTTAGTAAAGAGAGAATAGTAACTAAAACATTTTTATCATCATTCACAACCTGAGTTTGTAAAAAAAAACATAAAAAAACAAAAACTTTCGCTGTAATATTGTGAGCCATTTTAAACAATTATAACATAAATTTTATACAAATGTGCTTATGCTATTCATGTTGCTGACTAATCCCTCATGTTAATGTGACAGTTCATTCAACAAGCCATTAGAAAAGACTTCACTAATGTAGAAGAAATTCTAAATCCACCTGATGGTCAAGATGAAGGTGTTTGGAAATATGAACACCTTCGGTAAGTATTCAGTTTCATAACGATGTCAGTCTTTCCAAATATTTATTGTAAAATTTGACTAACAAGTTAATTAATTTTTAAATATTTGCGTATAAAATTTGTGTGCACTCTTTGCTGTATTAATTTAAATTTAAACTTATTTAAAAGAAAATTTTAACTTTCTCAAAATTTATTTCATCAGACAGTTTTGTATGGAGTTGAATGGATTAGCAGTTAAACTTCAAGTAAGTAACTTGATTAGACAATAAAATTTCCTCTTAAAATTTTTTTTTTATTAGGGTTTGGAGCTATGAGAAATCATTAAGTTAAGACAAGATAAGATACTTTTATTGATCCTTGAACCAATGTTTTGATTACATTGTAAAGATTTATTTTCTGCTTATTGAAGAAAAAAAAACATTAAAAAAAGAAACACTCTGATCATCTTAGCAATATTAAAGTTAAAGATTTCACACAAAAATTGCAATGGTATTTGTGTGATATTTTTTATTTTCTTGATAAGTCTCTTTAATAAGTGTGATGACTTCACACTCCAGACAGAGTAATTATTAGAATAATATTGAGTGTGTCAACACATAACATGACAAACTCCTCAACGTTGGGATATTAAAAGCTAGCTCTATCTTTTTCAGAAATATCTCATTTCAGAAATACCATTTCTTAAGCTTAATTGGCTAACACTAGTATTAGAGTAAGATTTAAGCATCTATTGTTTATTTTATTGATTCAGAAAATATAAAAAGGTCTTTTATTTCAAACTTGCAGGTTGAATGTAATCCTGAAACATGCACCCAAATGACAGCTACGGAACAATGGATATTTCTTTGTGCAGCCCATAAAACGCCTAAAGAGGTAAACAATAACAATGTTTCATCATGTTTATTCTTAGTTATATAATAATTACTTAAAAATTAGTTTAATTTAAACATATACCAAACAATTTGATTTAAAATTAAAATAAATAATCATCCTACATTTGTTATGTTGAAAATTTCAATGAAAAATAAAATTCTTTTCCTGTAATTTTAGAGTTCAATGTTATCATTTGTGTAAATATTTTTGACATACAGTGTCCAGCTATTGATTATACAAGACATACATTGGATGGAGCAGCATGCCTGCTCAATAGTAATAAATATTTTCCTAGCAGGTTTGTTTTTAAATTTTAATCATCCTTAATAAGAAAATTTCTGAGATATTGAAATAATTTTAGAAATCATTATGAACATACTTTAACAAACTTTTGCAGCAAAATCATACCAATTCTATCTTAAAACAAGTGAAGAACTTGATTTGGTAAACAATTCTATAACTCCCATATTTTGGAAATGATAGCTTTTATTGTAGTAATAAAATGAACAATGTAGTAAATTAACCTTGTAAAGCAGGCCTGCACAACATACGGCCTGCCAGCACCCACTTTGCAGCCCACGAAGTAACGAAATTTTCTTGATTATTATTATTTTCTTAATAGCTTTCCCCCTGTCCTATTTTCTTTCGGCCCGCTAAAGTTTCTCATAAAGTATTATGGCCTGCCTTACATTCTGAGTTGTGCTGGCCTGATGTCAAGGATGCTTGAAAAAATATGTTTTTATTTTAAATATAATGTACATTTACTGTTAGCTTTTAAAATTACTTTCTTATATCAATTAATTTACTTTCATTAGTATGTATAAGTTATGCATTTACCAGGAGATGCCATCTTTTTTCTTCAGAGTGAGCATAAAGGACTCATCTGTAGCTAAACTAGGATCTGTATGTCGACGTGTCTATAGGATATTTTCTCATGCTTATTTCCATCATAGGACGTTGTTTGACCAATATGAGGTACCTAATAAATATTGCTTTACATTATATATATAAGCATTCATTGTGGAGGTGAGAGTATCATTTAATCTACCGGTATTTATTCCTTAATCCAGTGCTATATCATTTAGTAACATCTGTACAATTTCACATTTTATTGATAAATAAAATGATAATTACTGTTCTGTAATAAGCTGTCATAGCAATATTAACTATCAAGTTAAATGCTAAATTAAGCAAATGTTTCTGAATTGGCAACATATGTATATATATTCATTTATTCTTCCAGAATGAAACATATCTGTGTAGGCGCTTTACCCAGTTTGTCACAAAATATAATCTCATGTCAAAAGACAATCTCATTGTACCAATTATGGAGGATCAACAAACTCTAGAAGGAGAAAGTGAGGCATAAAGCTAAAGGTTTCCTTTCTAGAATTATAAATATAGCAATGGTTTTTATTACAAGATGGAAGAAGTGGATCAATTCAAAATCAGTTGTTCAATGATAACGGATCTTGATTATGTATCAATTGAAAGCTATAGCTAATTAAATGTGATGCATCTGCATAGATGTCTTGACACTTCAGTTTGGTATATACCCAAAAGAGAGAGATCTGTTGTCTTTTTGCTTTGTTAATTGTGCATGTTATTTTTAATGATTAAACATTACTTTTATATTCAAATAAATGCCCCCCCTCCACACCCATTAATAACTCACCATTATTTATAGTAATAGTATTACTTCTTGAAACCTGGTCATGGCTAAATGGCCCAAATGAAATAAAATTGCGTGTCAACCACATAAAAGTTGTGGAAAAAAAATCAGTAAATACAGACAGGTCTGTAAATTAAAGAAAATGATCATTTATGCTGTACAAATAAATTTTTACTTTAGTGCAATTTGTATAATATTTAAATGTGTGTGTAAGTGTATTAGATGAGAAAGTAGTAATGGATGTTGATGAGATTTGAAAGGTGGACCACATTGAGGGGACAAATTGTGTTTAACCCTTTACTCCCAATGTTAGCATTATGTGAGTGTAGTATTAAAATATAAATTTTATATTTCAAGGAGTGACTGATCACTCAAGTGTGGATTCAAATTTGATGTTTTTTTGTTGTAGTTTCCTAGGTTTTCTAAAAATATAAAACAATTATCAGATTTTGAAAAGTGATAAACTGGTTGGCAAACGTATTGTGAAATGAAAGAGCTAAACCAATACTAGGCTGCACTTCCTTACAGATTAAACAATTATTGAAATATGACTAAAAGGTATGATAAAAGCATTTATATCAATAATGCAACTGATAAATATTTTGTATATTTTTTTGTATGCTGAAATTCCAATACTTGTATTTTAAATTGCATACAATTACATGTAAATGTAACTAAATAAATGACTAGTTATTCAATTTTTCTTTGTTTTTAATTTCAAGATAATGGAAAGAAAGTTATTATGCTTGATTCTCTTTTAAGATTTACAAAACTGCATGGAGAATTTAACACTACCCCCCCACCCACGACCATTCTTACTAGATTTTACTGTGCTTGACTGGTTTGTGTGAGGAGTAAACAAAAATTAATACTTCTCTTAATTAAAGGGCTTATCATTTGGATAATTTGAAATAAAAAAAAATATTTTTTGTGATAATGTGAAAATCACTTTTACAAAAGATAAAAACCACCAGATAATAAAAAATTCTAATGAATATGCTTCATTCTTTTATGTGGTGTCAGAAATTGAGTGATTATATAAAAAATCTGAATAAGATAATATAAGTCTAATATAAGGGCATTTTTATTTAAAAGCAAATAAAACAGTACATCTTTTTACACAAAACTAGTTTACATAATTAAATGACTTAATGATTATTTAAATTATGTTTCAACCCATTTGTGCTAAAAATCATTGTTGCAGGGTTAAAATGTTTGAATTTAAAATATCTGACTAGAACATTACAAATCAAAATTAACAAAGTGATTACCTTTATCATACACCCTTTAAGCAAATTGTAGAATTCGGGTAACATCATTTTTTTTTTTTAAAAACAAAACATATTCTGTTTAAAATAATTATATTAAAAATCTGTTTACTATTACCGAGTGAAAATTAAAATGAAAACAATGGCAATGTTTAAAAAATGACTGAAACTATCTTAATATTGCATGCACATGAGTGGATTATTTTGCAATATAAGTAGTTAATATGTGAACATGGTGAATCAATTTTCTCCTAAGAAGACCAAACAAAACACATTTTACAATAACTGGAAACAAATGCATTGAAAATATGGATTGGACATAATTTTATCTACTAATTTGCCTGAATAAAAATTTAATGTAAAATTTTGATAGATTTTAATGAAATATTAACTATTTTATTATACATAAAAGTAACATTTCATATTTTTAAGATTTATGAGGTTACAAAATTTGCCTAACATCGTAAGTGTACATATCTTTGGTTTCTAATTACAACCTTTTGTGATTGGAACAGGATTTTAATAATTGTTTTCAAAGGTTTAATAATTGTCAAATATCTCCATGATTTAAACAAACAAAAAACATTTTTTTGCGCCCAGTCTTAAAACTACACTGGAGCAGGGAAACTCTTCCAACAACAAAAATATAACACACTGCATATGGGATCACAAATTGTAAGCTGTTTTCCTACTGATATTAAGCAGAAGTGGATAAGTTCCTGAAATGCATTTTTCTGCACTTAGTAGATAATGAGTTAAAAAGTCCCTTACAAATGCCTATTATTGTGTGCAAAGTATTTGAATTAATTATCAAACTTATTTCAGTTTGCACATTTAATTGATTGCCAAATCATCTAGCAGAAAATAAATGCAAATTTAAATCTAAAGCTTTCAAACAATTGCATTTGTTAGGGCTCCAATCTTTTCAATACCAACTTCAACAACATCACCTTTCTGAAAAACAAGGAATAAGGAAATACAATTTTTACATTTTATTTACTTTACTCAATAATTAAAATGTTTGATAATTATTTTATAATTAAATCTGATGAAAAATAGGAAACTCTAAAATTAAGAACCATAAATCTAAGAATCATAGATACGGTAACATCATTGTACCGAAAAAATTTCCAAATAATAGTTATTTCATGCACAATTTTTATATTTAAAATAGTAATTCCTTTAAAAAGTTTTATACATTAATTGAGAAAGGTTAGACATAAAACACACGATTTTACCTTTAGAAATTCTGGAGGATTTCTAAATACCCCAACACCTGGGGGAGTTCCTGTTAGAATTGTGTCACCTGGTTTTAAGGTAAAAAATCTGAAAAAAATTGAAAGTTATAAAAGCCACTCATGAATTGAGAAAATGAACCAGATAAATATAAAATAAAACTAATTGAATATTACACTCACGAATAAACATGCACCTATGGATGTTCAAATGACTTTAAGGCACACTTAAATTGAAGCAAAGCTGCCTATTTGGTCTGAATATTGTCTGAGTATTTCTACAAACGTAATATTAATAATCAGAAAAACACATTTATTTTTGTTCAAACAGAATGAGAACATCAAGATAGAAATATTTGCCTAGTATGAAAGGTAAGTGTTTTTGAATGTTGCGACAAAGATAAGTGATTGACAATAAACTAAATGAAAACTAAATAATTTAAAAAAAAAAAGTAATCATGGGAGTGTGGGGAAAAAAAACCTCGATACCCTGTATTTAAAGTTAGTTTTATATAGTTTAAATTAAGGCTTTTTAATGCACTAAATAATTAAAGATTTGTAAATACCAGGCAATTTTCATTTATTATTTCATTTGTAGAAGTATTGTTTTTCTTATATATATATATATATATACATATTAATAAATAAATAAATTTACAAAGGGAAAAAATAAAATATTAAATCGCGGAGGCTCCAATTTTTCCAGACAAGATTGGCTACACACTGTCCCAAAGCACCACCGTCTAAAAATGATGTGAACCTTTCAATTGCAAAATCGAGCAGAAACTTTGGAAGATTGTCCTAAAACTTTTAGACTATGTGGGACTTAAGCGTCCTGACTGAAATAAAAGTCTACACAAGCCAGTTGCGCTCCAGTGAAAAAATTGTGAAATAGCAGAACCTGGCCCTGACACTCACTTCCTAAAGCAGGACTCCACGGCATATTCACCATCTTGATGGCAGATTCTGCTGAACTATGCAAGACATCTGTGAATGTCAGACTTATGGCAGTCAAAGAGAATATTTTATATTATACATTTTATGGCAGTTTCTATGTCTATGTGGAAAGCAGTCTGTAAAAAAAACTTCAAAGACTTATATTCTTCAATACATGAGGGCTTCATGCAGCATGAAGCTAAAAGAGTAGCTGCTCTAGAATTAAGAGGCGATCCAGAAAATCCCACTGCAAAATAAATTTCTTTGCAAGGACGGGGCAAGTTCATACCCAAAGTGTGAAATAGCTGATGCAACCCTACTATGAGTAGAGCAGTCCTTTTCAAGTTGATCAACACAGATGCAGATGGAGTCAAAATTTTATTTTTAATACATCAACTTAAACATAAATGTCATGAAAAAGAAATGCTAACCTTGACAAAAAAGCAACCAACTCTTCTGTCTTGAAAACCAATTGACTTGTATTACTGTCCTGTTTGTAAACACCATTTACTTTGGTCCAAAGTCTCAAATTGTGAGGATCTGAAAAAAAAAAAAATTAAGCTTTCAATTTGGAATCACATAGATTTTCTGGGTGTGCTAAATCATGGTGTTTAACAGCAGCTGACAGGTGAAAAGATTGTTCCTGGGGATTTTCTTTATGTTCTTCTGATTCATATTAAAACACCTGAGAAAAATATGGCAATTTTATGTTTTTAATTTGCGTATTTTAGGAGAGAGTGCAAATTCTAAACTATTTTTTTTTTTTTTAAATACCAACAAAATTGCATGATGATCTCAAACATACCCAGCAAAGCCTCTTTAGTGACAATAGCTGGACCAAGGGGGCAAAACCCATCCATGCTTTTTCCTACAAGGAATTGATTTCCATTGCGTTGGAGTTGCCAGTCTCTTGCACTTACATCATGAGCTACAGTGTATCCAAATACAAAGTTCATAGCCTCTTCTTTCTGTTAATGAATTATTTTTTATAAGTTTACATGAGTTATTATTGTGTTGAGTTCAGTTGCAAACTTTTATATGAATTTTTAACCAAATTTCTAAACAATTCACGAGAGGAAGGTGGGTCAAAATTTTCATCTGGATTAAAACGTTAGATCATATGTTGTCTCTTCTACCTACTCACCACTAAAATTTTTAATTAATTGCGTTTTCATACTTACAGCAATATTTTTTCCTTCTTTTCCAATAATTACAGCCAACTCTACTTCCCAATCCAGTTGCTGCAATATTTGATTTTGAATTTTAAAAAACTAAATTATTTTAAAAAAATTAAATTAGCAAAGAGCCTAAGCTTCTTGTTTAGACTGAAGTAAAAGTAAGCCAATACAAACAATGTTTAGGCTAAGATTGAGCCAATACAACAATGTTTACGCTAAGAATAAACCAATACATACAATGTTTAGGCTAATAATAAGCCAATGCAAACAATTTTTAGGCTAAGATTAAGCCATTACAAACAATGAAGGAATTTTTCGTTTTCTTTTTTAAGCTTAACATTATATAGGCTGAACTATTTTTGAAAAATTATGCTTTGCATAAAAAATAGAAATTTAAAGTTTGTATACAAATTTTTTTTATCTATAAAACTTAAATAAAAACATGGTACAGACTTATCGAAACAACGATAAATAACATACACTTGTTTCATTTGGATACTCAATAGTATCATTTGGGCCTCTGATAGCACTGTTAAATTTGCTGAAAATAACTGGCTCAACTGGCACTGGAACATTTTGCTCAGCACAGTGGTCACGGTAGTTCATGCCAATGCAAATAAGTTTTTCTGGATTGTTGATAGGGCTCAAGATTCTTATGTCGCCTTGTTTTAAGATATTTCTACCAGCATCAACAGCCCTGCAAATATGGTAAATACATTTAACTTAACATCATGTCATAAACATAACCTACACTTGTAATTTTACCAATTTCCAAGCATCATTCCTAACTTATAGATGCAAATTTTGGGGCTAAAAAAAATTATGATGTGCTTTGTGTGAGATATTATAATCTGTCAATTTACGCAATCCGCGCCAATTTGAGTTTCTGTGTAGAATTCACTCTCTTTTCTATAATTGTTAATTTATGACTAGATTTAACTTTCATTTTTAAAAATTATAATTTCAATGGGTGGTTAATTATAACATTTAAATTTTCCATCATTTTGGAAAATGGGTATAGTATAGCAGTGTTTTGATTTTCAGGCAACTTTTGGATTTTCTTTGGAGCCTGAAATAAAGTGTGTAAAATTTTAAACTGTTTTTTTCATTATTTTAAAATGACTTTGTATTGTTTTTCTTCATTTTTTTCACTTTTCTTACCACAGTGTGTAACTGTAGCACACAGGGTTTCTTTCAGCTATATCTCCCCGCGGGGGGCACTGCCCCCCCCCGTGAAAACTAAGTGCCCCCCGGAGCAAAAATATATCCAACAATAAATCAACTGGAACTGCTGGCACTGCCCCACCCCCACCCCCTTCCCCCGAAAAATCTGAAGTGCTCCCCGGGGGAAAATTACTGAAAGAAACACTGGTAGCACATGTGACAGGTGATTAAATTGAGTTGCTATGAAATTAATATACCCGCTGAAATTATATCAGGAAAGTAGGCAAAACCCAGGTTGTTGACACTTCTTGCCACATATCTAGAGGGACCTCTGACGGTTCTAGGGATGTAATAAAGGTTCTCATTATATGGTGTTAAGTTAATGGTTTTTACTTTTTGGGGGAAAAAAACTTTTTTCATCTCAATTTTACCTGTGGAAATACAATAACTACAATAAATATGGTCCCTCCAATTATAAGGATTATGTCTAAGTCTACTGTCAAAATTTGAATTTTTAAAAAAAATATACAATAATTTAATGTCATAGCAGCGTTTCCCAAACGGTGGTCCTTGGACCGGCACCAGTCAGCGAGCCTTACGTTACCGGTCCAGAGAGCATGAATATTGATGTTTAAATAGAAAGAAAATGTAATTAGAAAATGTAAAATAAATCTGGCACCGGTCCCTGGTGCCGTTTCGAAACTTGTCCACCGGTGGGTGAAACTTAAAAGTTTGGGAAACGCTGGTCATCATAGTATTAGTATTAGTATAGAAAATGTGACCATTGCAGTCACGAAATTGCAATGGCATGGCATGTGAATGACTCGACGCAATTCTACTGGGCAATGTATTGAAATTGGGCTTTGGTCTCAATTTCAATAACTATCCCGAGTGCCCCTCGTGTCCATTCATATTCAGTGTTAGCAGGTTGAGTAGACTGTCTTTGCCGAGTGATAGTGATATCAGTGATAGGAATTCAGTCTGAGTGGTGCCGTGAATAAAGAATTGTATTTTTGTTAAAATAAAGAAATGAAATAAAAAACCTTTTAGCAGCTTCCAAGTTGGCTTCTCCACCTGCAATAAAATCGTTCATGTTATTTGGTAACTCTGGCACAGACTCAGTGAGATCAACAATATTGGCATTGCCATCTTCTAATTCAACTCCGAGTCCTCGCCTTCCACTCGCTACAGCTTCAAATTGAACGAGGCGCATTGCTTTGTATAATCTTCTAGTATGTTGGTCGGTCAGCCGGCTTTGCAACCTCCGTTTTGAAAGAGATAGCAGAGACTGCCGTAATAAAAAATGCATGCAGTTATCTTTAAGTTATTGTGCTGCACTGTTTAAAAGAAAAAAAAAACCGTAACAAAAAGGAAACACGAATTCATAACATGACACTTTAATTTGAGGTAACCTTTGAACTTTGAACTAGATTGTTGTTATAGGTCGCGAACTTTGTAGCAGCACAAAACAAAAGACAAAATTAAAAAAGGAATATTATATTAAAAATATAGTTGGCTGAAGTTAATTTTATAAAATTTAACTCAAAATAAGTTACAAAAAACTTTGACATGAATCAATTAAACTGACATAAAATTACCAAAATAATTTTAAGATCTTTTGTGCCTTTGGAAATTAGTTGTTTTTTTTTAAAATTCTCCTTGGTTTCAAAGAGAAGCGTCAAAATGGCGGATAACCAAAGCGGTCACAAAATCCAAGAAAACGATGCTCGCAGTGGTTCATTTGATAGTCCATTTGAAGAAAAAGGTGAGTATCATTGCATATTTTATGTAAAATCTGGATGTTATGATTGCGTAACTGGTTTGATCATGCAAAGTTATATCAAGTTAATTGAATGTTGCGGATGATTTATTTTTTTATACTACAGTCTACAGGCGGTAGTATAAGTATACGAAGTGGCGGATTCGGAACCTGCTACCAGTAGTGAGAGGTTGGGATTGAAAAATGTTTAAAATATTATTGTTGGTTTTGTAAGATAAAATTTGGTATCGTCGCTATTCGGTTCGGACCCGGGTCCCTTTAGACTATAAAATGAGTAAAACTTAAACTTAAAACAGTTACAGAGTAGGGTTAAACCTGAAAAAATGAATGCAACAAAACAACGAACATGTCGGTAGAAAGCCTTCATCAGCGAACAAAACAACAGAAAAAAACGGTATAAAAATAAAAATAAGAAATAGCACTTAGCACGGATACTACTACTTCTAAGCTAAGTCTTAGCTTAGAAGTAGTAGTATCCGTAGCCAGCAACAAAAATTTCATTTTATATTGTGATAATCTGATTGCAGTCTCTCCCCTTATTTCCCTTTAGACTAAATGCTATCGGATGTCACTTGTGGTAGTTTATTTTAGTGATACTGAAGAATTAAGTTTATAAACATATAGTCCATTCAATTATTCTTTCATTTGATACCAAATTCCGACGTACAAACCATACAATAATTTTAAAAATATTTTTTTAATAAACCCAACCTCTCACTTCTAATACCGGGTCCAAATAGCCGCAGCCATAAGTATATTATTATTATAATTTTTTTATAATATAATAATAATATAATTTTAAAAATTTAATATAAGTATAATTCCGTTTTAATTATTAATTTAATTGTCTTATTCATCTTTTGATAATTAATTAATGACTACTCATTCTACCTGTTTGGTTCGTCTTCTTAACTTTCAGTGTTAATCTGTAAACTGTAAAATAAAATAGGGTGGAGAAACCTTAACTCTGCCACTGCCTCGCTTTTTTCTTACCATATTGCTTTGAACTTGTTCTGAATAATAAAGGTTTTATAGAATTTAGCCAAGGTTTTTTTTTTAAAGAGTACCCACGTCAAATAATAGTAAATAATAATTCATGAAAAAATAAAAAACTATGTGCCACATCTTATTTTAATCCATTTATTACCTAATTGACCTGAGTTAAGGTAGGCATTAGAATAAGATGGGCTTTTTAATTATTTATATCAACACGATGCCTAGTGACATCAACCTATTTTAACCTTTTTATAGACATGTCGCAAAACAGTGTCCATAGCAACATAGCAACAAGAAAAGTTCATTCATGCTTATTCTCCCCTTCACTGTGCAAGCAATCTAGCATGTTTACTTCATTTATAACTATATAGATCATAAATTTGAAATGAAAATAGCTTGTTTAAACTCCAGTTTACATTAAATTTTGATTTTATTTACACTGAACAATGGCAGTTTTGTTAAAAATGGTCTCAGACGTTGACTTTAATAGCAATTTATTTGTAAATAAACATAATTATGTATGCTAGATGTAGTAATGCCAATTCCATTTTTTAAATTATGGAAGTGAAATCAATAGTCAAATTTCACAAAATTATTGTGTTAGAGGAGGGAAAAAAGTGTGGGGGAGAGTCATGTGGATAGATGTGTTTTTCAACTCTATGCACTGTGTGGATATGTTATATTACAAATTTTAAAGAATCATGCTCTATTATGTCCCCTTCATTCCTCTCACTCAATCATCATCAGTAACCGAACATATAAACTTTATGATTTGTTTATTAAATTATGATGTCACAATATTTTGGCTGCATTTTTACCCCCATCCCAAAACGCAACCCCTTTCCATCACATTTTATGTCATAAAGCTATGTCCCCATCTCACCCCTTCCCTAATTTGACAGTGCAGTTTTCAGCATATAAATTTAATTGTTCTTCTCATAAATATTTAAAATCAATAGGCCCTGTGTGGTATTAGTAGTAATGTAAATAAATTCATTCTGTCCACCACTTTGTGTAGGTTGTAACCTTTTTGTGTACAAACTCTAAAAGATTCCTTTCCCACAGATATCAAATTGCTGCATCTTTTTCATAAACTTTGCTCTAGAATATTTACCTGGTTACTGTACCATAACTATTATTAGTTCTTTCCCACTTCATGTAATCCTAATTCCCAGAACCGATTTCTACTTTTAAAGAAATGTAATCTGTCATAACTGTCAATGTCACTGCACCTTTGACGCTCATCTTTCATGTCATCCTGTTACTTTATCATTCCAGACCAGTGGTCAGAGCATCTTGAATACCTGTCTTCCATTTCTCTTAATCACTGATTTGCTCAGCAATAATAAATAGTTTATAAATTAAAAAATTGAATAAAAAGCAATTGAGCAATGAAAATTTAAAAATCAAATATGGTATAAATAATGGTCCAAATGTCGGTAAATTAGAATTAGTGAAAGTTTATCCAATTACACAGTAATTTTTTAGCCAAGTGCTAGAGCTGAAGGCCTAAAAGCTAGTAGAGCGGGGTTATATAAATTTCACTGAAGAAGTGGAATTCAGTATTGATAGTCATGGAGAGGCTGCTAGTTAAGTTTTTAAAAAAAAAAATCATAACAGAACAAACACGTTAAAAAATGTTAAAATACTATATTTTTTAAGGAATGAACAGATTAATTGAATTTACATTGATTTAAATGGGAAAAATTATTTCGGTTAGCTATCATTTTGATTTAAGAAAGGAGTCTCGGAATAGATTAAGCTCATTATCCAAGGTTCCACTGAATAGATTTTTTAAAAAAAGCTATTTTTTTTTCAGTTGAAAAACCAGTTCGTTTGAACCTTCAACATATTGTTAAAAGACACTTGCCTACTGAGGCAAGTGATTGGTCACATGATGAGATGTAAGTTTCTGTAAAATATATCTTATTATTTAACTTAGTTTAAGTTTTAAAAAACTCTAATAGAATAATGACAACATATTGATACTAAAATAATAAAGTCCCTTGACACTATAAAAGTTCTGTGCTATTTTGGTACTATGCAGTTTTCACTTTTTTTAACCTAATAAGTTGGATGTTGAGTGTGTCAGTTAAACTTCAAACTCAGTTACAAATAATGTTTAATTAAAATTATAAATACAAAAATGATGCATTAAATATAACCAATAATTCAAAAATAAATTTAAAAATGCATTGTATCATGAAACATTTAAGTTATGATGTATAATTTTTAGAAGTTTCCAGAATAGTTTTAACTAATCTATTTTTGCTTTCAAATTCAAAGAATTACTTTAAGGCTAATGGTTTTTGATAAGCCTTAAAATTAATGTTTTAAAAACAAAAATGTTGCATAGGTACACTGAATATTCAATTTTTCACAGAAAGCCAATGCTACTTGATTGAATAATAAAAAGTGTCATTCAGAGTCTTTTAGGATTTTAGACATTACTTATTGCAAAAGTTAAAATATTTTTTTACGGTACTAAGTACTTATATGTAGCAATTATTCTTTCTTGACAAATTTGTTTAGCCTCAAAGCTCTAAATAAGATAAGACGAGTTCGTCTTGATCGTGAAAACATAAGTGACATTGACAATCTTGAGTTGCTCAGTACAGAAGTAACTCATCTTTACCTGCATTGCAACAAAATAACAAAAATAGAGAATTTGGAATGTCTACCTCATTTACAGGTATTTTTTAAAGTTTGTACCATATGAGCAGTTGGATGTAGTTAACATAACCTTCACAAACAGGACTTTTAACAACTTTCCCTCTTTGGTAACAAGTTACAACTTAACACAAAAGTGGTGATAGCCAAAAAATAAGCTACTACTAAACACAAACTGGTGATAGCCAAGTAATAAAAGACAACTAAACACAAATGTGATAGCCTTAAAATTTAGTTCAAAATTTATCATTATTAGACATTAGACTCTACTGTTATGAAACTGAATCATAATGAGTAGTAATGATACTCTCTGCTTATAAGTATTCAAGTTTTTTTGTACATTATGTAAGTTTAATTACTAACTTACTGTCTAAAACATCTTTTTACACATCTTTCAGATTTTAATATTGTCAGACAATCAAATCAGTGATATAGATGGAATAGCATATTTAACCAAGCTAGTGTTTTTTGATATTTCAAAGAACAGGATAGAGGAAACACATGCAGGTAACATTTAAGCTTTTCTTTGTTTAATCAACAAAAAGTATAAAAGATTATTGTAACAATTTATGTAATAATTTTTTTCTGTACAGTCATCCATATCTTATGTATGCATAAAAGTCAAATGTTCATTCCCCTTCCTCCTCTGTTGCAGTTCACCCATACATTATTGGACGCCTACTCCTCATTTATGTTAAAATAAAAATCCCCCCCCCCCCTTTTTTTTTTAATCCATATCTTATGTATGCATAAAAGTCAAATGTTCATTCCCCTTCCTCCTCTGTTGCAGTTCACCCATACATTATTGGACGCCTACTCCTCATTTATGTTAAAATAAAAATCCCCCCCCCCTTTTTTTTTTCCAAGGGTCCCTGCCTGTTTGAATTTATTTGAATAAAATTATGATTTACACAGTAATTAAATAAAGTAACCCTAAGCTGTGTTAAAACTTATGTCACAGGTTTTCTCCACTCTTTGTTTGATGTAGAAAATAAAACATTTTGTTCAGTCCAACAAAATAATTAAGTCTCAAATTATGTCATGCACAATGGAATTAAAGTTGTAGTGAGGTTATTTATTGCTGTTAGAATTTGAGAATAATTATTATTGCAGAATATTTCAATGATTATATTAACTTGTGTCACATGTACCTGTATGCAAAATCTTCAGAAATCCCCATCCAGGGGTGCCACTCACTGAAAGCTGTGAACCCTGAAATCCCTTTCTAAAAATTTCTTGAAACCTGAAACTTCATTTACAAATTTTTCAATCCCTGAAACTTAATGAAACTCAAAATTCCTGATTATCGCAATGCGGCATTTTGTTGATTAATATAAAAACAAGCATGAAATTATCAAATAAAACATTGAGATACATCACAAATGAACAAAATTAAGCAATTAAGGTGTATACATGTAAACATTTATTAGTATTTATTAAATTTACAGCAATAGCAATTTTTCAATTTACTTAGACTTGAAAAGTCAACTTTTGCAATGAGTTATCTGGGCATTTTAGAACAAAAGTATAGCTACCACAAGTGGAAAGTATCTTTTCATATATGGAGTTAATGTTGTCTTCTTTATGATGAAAATGGATAGTTTGAATCAACACACTTTAGTGTCTATACTATCTCCCAAGTGTGAGAGTTTCATAGTTTGACACATAAATTTCATAAATTGAGAAGTTACAAAAGTGGACACCTAAGATGGGTGATAAAGCTGGTATCATCAGATGATTGACTCAGACATTTTCCCCTTGAATACTTGATATCAATATTTCCAGCATAGTATTCATTGATGACTTATTCAATCATGATTGCCTATTGCTGTACTGGTACTGTAATGCCTATCAGTTCTTTAAAGTTAAAGGAACTGTTAACTGTTGGGCATTACATATTTTTATTGAGCTTAGATCCTGAATATTGAAACAAAATAAAATATATTATCATATTAGATTTATAGTTTATAGTAAGGCATACATTTAATATCGACTATATTATACCAGTATTTAACTACGGCACTACTGCTAGTAGCAGTGCTACGGTAATACAGAGCATTATGAATACTAGTAATTTTACTAGTAATAGTAGTAGTAGTAGTAGAATTACAAATTACTGTAAAGTATACCCAGAGTCAGAACACGGGAGTGCATAACTAATAAATAAAAACTAACTAAATAGTTATGTCAGGCTCACTACAGAACGGATAAAAATAACATAATCATATTCGCCTATTTAAAATTAGAAGGCTTACTCCGTAATTAAATGTCAAGTGAACTTAAGAAGTATTTAAACAAAAGTTAAACGCCGCCTAGCTCTTCTAATAAAAAAAATACAAGTCGCCTGTATACAGTAAAGCTACATAACAAAGTACGCTAAGCTTAGTCTTGTTAGACAACGCTCGGACGATTAATTTTCTTTTTATGATAATGGTTACCCAACAATTAAAAACTAGGTAGCCAAAAACTAAATTAAAAAGATATTTACTAAATTTTACACTTTGCTTACCCAAACACTTCAAATATCTCTTGATCGGCGACGTGAACAGAAAATAAATATTTCTGGTCTATCGAAGTAGTACGGTACTCGAAACGCGTAGTGTAAAGCGCATGCGCAAGGGGAAACCACTAGCTCTCTGGCAACAGAAAGGCTAAAAATAGACGAGATCGGCGATTAACGTCCAGTTTCAAGGAATTTTCCTGGTTTTTCGCGAATTCTGTTGCATGTTGTTTCTTAAAAAAAAGAACCCAGACAGAATCCGTATTTGAATAAATTGAACTGGCGAACCCGGAAAGAGAGAATATAAAAACTCGCGAATCCGGAACTGAAAAATATTTAGCCTCACGAATCCGGAATTCCGGGATGACCCGGAAAAGTGGCACCCCTGTCCCCATCCCTCTTACTCTTAATGTGTATGTAATATATATGGAAATAATGTGATTTTATATTATCTTACAGAAAAAATGCCCAAGTCACTTGTAATAGTGAGCTTCTCTGGAAATCCATGTACTGAGTGTCCCTCACACAGGTTAATTATTAATAATATAAATTCAACTTTAAGAATTGCCACAAGATTTAATATAATTTGGAACTCACTTGTCTAGGGGCAGTGCTTCCCACATTTTTAACCAAAGATTGGGCCATATTTATTATTATTATTTTAATCATGATCACTGAGTCAAAATGGACCCAGACATGCAGCGCCGCCATTCGCACACGGGTACCATTAGACTCAAGCTATTCTGATGTCATTTGTGGTAGTTTATTTTAATTAAACTGAATAATTACGTTTACAAACATAGTGTCCATTCAATTATCTTTCATTTGATACCTCATTTTGTCTTACAAACCCAACAATAAAATTTTAAATAGTTTTTTAATCCCAACCTCTCACTTCTGATACCGGGGTTCGAATAGTCACAGCCTAAAATGAAATAATAATGATAATATATTACAAAGATAAGCTAGTCTCACACTTACAGAGAAATTGAAATTTCATGGCAGAAAATAACACTATGTAACATTTAATTCACATAAATGATATTGTGTTGTACTGAATTAGGCATTAGATGAAACGTCTAAATAAGTAAAAATTGTTTTATGATAATTAAAGCTGAAATAAACTTTTTTTATATGCACAAAATTGTTTGTGTCTCATTAAGCTACTTAAAAGCTTGATTGCAGTTCAAACTTCTTATTCTTAGTTAACAAGGGAAATAGTATATGAAGTAATTCAAGAATAAATGAATGAGAGAACAAATGAATAATCACTTATTTAAAATAACTATTAACATAAGTAAATAGATGAGTACATTTTCTAATTTCTACACATGATCATTTGAGCACACAGACAGTGACAGGCCCTCTCTCTCTACTACTACCGTCCCCACTTTGCACTAGTTTATAAAGGCATGGGTCAGACCAATTATCACATTTTAACAGGGTAAAAAATTACTGAATATAGCTACAAACACATCCTTATTGAACTAAATGGTCTGACCCATGCTGACTAACTAACACACATATTCTGGTGAGGGTCTGAGATTACTCTCTTATGACCCCGGCTAGTAAATTGGCTATCAACTCCATCTGTTGAGCTGAGCCATACAACATTTACCTCACAAAGGGTCTTCCAACAGCACTGGCTTCCCCCGGGAGATCTAGTGAGGGACATTCGGTCAACAGGTGCTCTAGAGTCTCCGGGGCCAGGCTGCAGTGCCTGGCAGGTAGAATCCCTGTTGTTATCCAGCCGCCAGAAATATGTGCGCAAGGGACAGTGCTCGGTGCGCATCTGCGTCACTAAGCTCTGCTATTTGTTGCGGCCTAACCCCCACCATGGGTCTTGTTTGCTAGGAGTGGGCAAGTTTGAATAGACCCCTCTGGCGGTCGTGTTGTCTGCCCATTGCCTGTACCACTTTTTCCTGAAGTGGTCCGCCAGCCAGTTTTTAATTCCCAAATAAGTCCTTGGTACTTCTGGCTGAGGCTGGGCAGCCCCAGTTTTCGCCAGAGTGTCCGCTCTCTCATTGCCACTGATGTTGATGTGGCCAGGTATCCACTGTATTGTTACCTTGCCCCCTAGTTCACCAATTTTGCACACGTCATTGGTGATGACGTCGACCAAGTGTGTGGTACCCTGTCTCTTTCCCAAGATCTCGAGAGCAGATCTTGAGTCTGAGTAGACAACTACATCGAGCCCCGCATGTTCCGTCCCCTTCAATGTGTCGTGAATTCTCTCCAAGGCCCTGTGTATAGCCATGAGCTCCACATCGAAATTTGATGCTGCAGTCCCACAGGGCCCCGAGAGCTCTTCTGTTGGTGGTCCTCCCGCTGGATACAGTATGAGCGCACTGTACCCAGCAGTACCCCTGCTGACTATATCACCTTGACTGGAGCAAACCCAAAATATTCATTCACATTTTTATTAAAGACAAGTTTAAAAGAATTTTAAATTTAGCCAATATACAGGGATTTGCTCACAAAATAATTGAGTTGTAACACAAATAGAAAGTACCTTTCTTTCATGTTTTAATTTTTTTTTATATCACTTTTAAAACTTCAAGAATATACTTACTTTAGTGATTTCCTTTATAACACAATAATACTGAATGATACAATTTTAAATTCCCATATAGGTTTAGTCTTATCCAATGGTTACCAACACTGAAGCATCTTGATGGTATAGAGATCTCTAGAGAGGAAATGAACCAAGCAGGACGATTGGAAAGTTGTATGGATGAGGAAAGTGATGAAGAAGACAATGAAAACAGTGAAAATGATGAGCAGAACTATGAAGACCCTACCATTTCACATCTCAGCAAAAATGTTAATGAGGCTAGGTCTTTAGATATTCAGCAGAACATTGGATATAAGCAACTTCCAAAAATTCAGAGTAAGTTGTTTTACACTAAAATTTGAGAATTAATTTTGAAAATAATTCTATCTTCCATAATTGGATACTAAATAGAACATTAGCCTTACAAAATATGTGTGTAAAGAAATGCATAAATAATTACACTAAAGGTAAAGAATAATAATAGAAGGGATTTATATTCTAAATTTGCAAAGCTGTTCTATTCGTTGTCTCCTAAAGCCTTAATTCTAGACTGACATACAACAGGAATTATTTTGAATGAATAAATTTGAAAATTGTTCATTTTTATTTTCCCAGAAAACATACATGATTTAGCTACAGACATGCTAATGCGATCTCAATCTCGACTGGAGGACAGGACAAGTGAATATAGAAAACATATTCAGGAGATGACCAACATTCGCATCTTGAGCAAAATTAAACCAGTTCCACATCTTTCAAAGCCATCTGACAGTCTTGATTAGCTGCATGTACAAATAAACTATACTCAGTGAATCATTGGTGCATTTAAAGATTTATTTCTCATGATATTTTAATGCTAGTTAAAAATAACTCTAAAAGGTTTTTTATTCTATAAATTGAAACTGAATTAAACCACTTAATCCTTTCAGAAATAAAAATAACAATGGCCAACTGTGCATCAAACAGTCCAATGAAATAAATAGTGGATGTTTAAACAATGGAATTTATTCAGTTAACTCTATTGCTGTTGTTTTGTAAAGTTTTCAGATGATACCAGCAGTCATTAAATAAAATATTTTAAACTGCTGAGGTTATATAGTTTAACTTGCATAATTTTTTGATACAGCTTGATAATGTAAAATACATTTATGTTTTTTCTAATCAATTATTTTTAGATTCAGGTGATTCATAATTGAAAACCAAGTCAATGTTTATAAGTAGCTCATGCCTGCACCGGGAAAGGGGGGGGGGGGCGGAAACCATGGCACTTGTCAGGGGCCTGAGCTAGATAGGGTCAGCCCTTTTACGAGTTTTAAAATATACGCACATGTTTGAAACATGAAAGGGGCCCGAAATCTGTCAGCTCCCTGAGGCCCAGAATTTCCTAGGTGCAGGCCTGGGTACTTTGTGTAGTTTGAATGAAGTTCCAATGTGGAAAATTAAGGCACACAAATAAATGAAAAATATTTAAAGGTAAAATTATTAAAAATGAAATAAAAATTGAGCAATATGTTTTAGTGCTGGTCATCACAACATTTTTTGCAATGCTACAAAAAATAAAATGTGACATGAAATTGAAATGCAGTTATTCATAATTCTGAGTTTAAGTTTGGGTCTTTTCATAACTACATATGGCTTGGTTAGTAATTTTTAAAAATTTAACACATTACAAGAGGGCAGAATTGAAAAAAAAAAAGGATTAGGCCTCAGGTAGGGCTTAATATAGGGTCACCTATAAATGATGTCATGCATGTCACATGACCGCCATGTCAGGAAAAAAAAGAAGTTGGGGGGGGGGGGTCCCGGATTTGTGGGTTTTCCCTGGGGGGGCTCCATTTTTTGAAGATTTTTTGGGGGTTTTTTTTGGGGGGGGGGGGGAAAAATCTTCCAAAAA